GGTCTCATTGCAATAAATCTTATTATTTGAATTTAAAAGCGTCAACAATAGAAAATGATTCAAACAGGTTAAAATCATTTCGTCCTCATCTATTTTCTCCCCCAATTAAACTAGTGGGACATACAGGGGCGAAGAGCATGGATGGGTAGTGAGAAGGGACACTACTCTCATGTCATCTGCGAGACTGTTTTGGCATTTATTGTTTTATTTTAATTTGCATGGAAAATTGATTCTCTTTTAAAAAATATAATAATAGGTTCCTATCTTCTGATTGTGTTTTGCTTTTAATATTTATAGTTATATTTCATTAATTTTTTTTTTTTGCTCTTCTAGTTTGATCCGTTAGTATAATATTAGTTTGTATAATTTTAAAAATGTAATTAAAGATTATGAGCTAGCATAAACAGAACTATTTATGCTATTGTTTTGTTAATCCCTTTTCTAAGACGGTAAAAATATGTTGATATAAAAATAAATTGATTAGATATGATTGAAAATAAAAAGTAAAGAAAAAACTTTCTTTATATTAGGCTTAAATAGAAGGTGAAAGACGAATGCGAGATTTAATACACATTAGTGAAGGGGTTAAAAGATCATTAAATACATGTTAATAAAATTAAACCCTTCAACACTAGTTCATGTTTTTATGTGCGTTTTTTAAATTATAGAAACTAATGTTTTAAGCTATCAAACTGTTGTTCATAAACAACAAAAGTGCAAGGTATGCCAAACACATTGAATTTCAAAAGATAGCAAAAGAGTTTTTAGGCTCTCTTACTATAGTCTACTTGAATGTAAAGATACAAAAACTCGAATGTAAAGATACAAAAAAGTTAAAATAATAAGTGTTTAATTAATAGAATGTGCAAAATACAAGATTGTAAAGATTACAAAGCTAAAACTAATTCTAAAATCTATCTGGAAACTAAAATTCTAAAATAAATATTGAGAGTCAATTGCTGATAAGTCCTCTCATCTATGTGACTTTTTCTTGTTTTTATAGTAATTCGGCTAAAGCAGTTGCCCTCAATGAAATTCAGAGCTTGTTCAAAAATTTCAAGGATTCAAATGGGTAAGGTCCATGAGATTCGTGTCATGACACACCACATCTGATCTCATATGCCTATCTTGAATCTCAAGGGTTAAGTTGTGCGTTGCATGTTCTTCTTATCTACATCATATACTGGCCATTGTTAGTTATTTGTAATTGTCAGCTCGGGTCCTTGAAATATTTGTGGATGAGAGTTACTACCCTGCAAGATTTAGGGTTTGTTGAGATTATGATCTTGTGTGAGGTAATCAGTCTAAATAGTGGTTTTGAGTTTTAAAGAATTTTAAAATTCAATTTGTCTTAATTAAATTATTTCATCACGATATGGACCGACTTTGTCATTATAGGATCTCTACCTAGACCTAATGCTTTATTTACTGAGCCCATTTCTTGCTTTAGCCATTGCATCCTTTTGCACAATCGTGGCTTCAAATTTAACCTAAATACAAATTAAAAGGATTGAAAATAATAAAATAGAATTACAATGACCGAAAACAAAATACAATCATAATGTTATATTTTCATTTATAAAGTGCGCGCGTGCGAACATAAGAATGATAGCTGTATAGATGCTTTTTTTTTTTTTAAGTTATAACTTATTTGTTAAGTTTCAAATGATACAAGGGACTTATCTAATTTTTTGTACGTAGTAGGAATTAGAGGCAAATGGATAATTTAAAGAAGAGTGGAGGGGAGAAAAATATGTTTTCAATTGCTTTTAGGGGGCCTTGATTGCTATCCCTTTTTTTTTTAATGGATGATATATTATTCGAGGAAGATAATTAGTTATTCAAATATTGTTTGGGAGATTGATGCAGTATATTAGCATATGTTTCATATCACATTCACAAAATGCTTCCAGCAGGAAAACCACGTTTTGTGATCTGGCAACTTGTTACCAAACACGTCTTTAAACACAGTCGCTTTTGCTGAGAATGAAGTTCATCGAAATCAAAAGATGTGGAATTTGAATAAAAGGACTGAAACAAGCGATGTGAATAGGAACAAAGGAAATGAAAAAATGGAGTGAGATTATATGTTACCCACTTATTCGCACAATTTTAAAGGAAGAGCAATTTTCAACCGAAAAAAAAAATACTTATTAGGTGAAGGTCTCTCACACTGTAAATCTCATATCATTTGAAAAGTCGTCTAATATAAGACTCATTATAAATTTATGGTTTTAAAACTTCTATTCAAGCTGAATAGGACATTTGAATCATCAGTTGTGGCATGATTGATTATATACCTGTTAGTTAAAGCATCATACACACAGAGATATGTATACACGTACATGTGTGTGTCAATATATCCAATAAATTGATAAATAGCGACGTATTATTGACAATTCTCACTGGTTTATATTATAGACACGCGCATGCAGGATGGTGTAGGATGAGCTTTGTTTTTAGTGGACTCTAATTACATATCCATACAATTGTACTGTTCGACAAGAGGATACTGACTTGTATATATAGATTTCATGAAAAGGCTAAAATATAATTAGGTGTCCAAAATAACTAAAAATAATAACAGTAATATATTTAGGTAACAGTTCATAAATTAAAGATAACCTTTTTAGATGATAAATCAGAACCTTTCCATGAAAATTAATATATTACGGATGAGGCAGTTCTCCCATGTTTAAATCAATCAGCCACAAATATTAAAGATACTATATAGAAAGTTGTCTTTTTAATTTCTCTGGACCAATATGTTTTCTATATATTTCATCTAAAAATTTGTCTACCAATATTTTAGATCTTAACGTGCAACCTAACCAGTGTTCTAGTAAACTTCATGATATCTTAAATTTGTCTACCAATATTTAGTGCTTGGATTTATCAGTTATATGTCACGAGGTCACCCCGTGATATATATCTGCCTAAACACAGAAAAATCTCCACGCATTCGACTATTCCATTAAACTTCATGCCAAAAAGTATATATACTCAAAAGTGCATCAATCTTCCCCAACAATAATATTATTAATTCTCTCTCTAATTATATTGGTAAACCTACTGGGCAAAATATATATACATATACATACATATATATATATATATATATATTGGTAAACCTAATCGTCTCGCAAAAAGTCTGACTTGTCGTATCCACACACATTATTCCACAAACTGTAAACGCTTAGCCTCAGCTTCATCACTCACAAAGCACTTCTTCCTCCTTCCGCTTCCTTCTTATAATCTCTTTGGCTTTCTCTTCTGTCCTCCACCATTGACTAAGCTAGCAACAACCAACAAACCACACCTCGTCCCCGTCAACTGACTTCCTGGTTCACATATATTTTAGGCTCAAGGATCTATTTCCTGCTTATTTGAACTCAGACGTGTCTGAGCGTCACTGTGTAGTTAGTTTTGGGTCTGCGGGTTCTGGCTTCGGCAGAGTTACTTGAGGAGGCTGTGACAACGCTAGAAATATCATCGACAACGCTCTGTTTGTGATCAGTGTTTGAGGAGGTTGCCTTTTGATAAATTATGAACGGCAATACGATCACACATGCATGCCTATGATCTACTCATGATGAATTGGTTGGGAATGGCAGAGGGCGTCATGTTCAATTGAAACACTGCTCCCACAGCCTATGCGTTTAAATGATCTTGCATGTTGTCCTGGGTGTGTAGTATGTACATACATCTAACATGATTATTGATTTAGGTGAATGCTAAAAACTAAGCTCCTTGTGGAGCATGCTGGAGTTTTCTGGTTTGTCACTTGCCTTCGCTCATCATCACTCATAGAGCCTAAATATATACAAGTCAAATTGACCTCAGGCCCCTAATGCTTAAGTCCGAATTGATGGGTCACACTCAAGGTCAAGGTCCTTGCTAGAATTGTCACATTCACAAAGTGATATTTGAAGATAGCCTTGTGTCACAAGCTGTGCTAAAAAATAAGAGAACTTATGAGATTATAGTGTTTTTGAAGATGTTCAAGATGATGTAGAGAATTCTAAAAGAGTCTAAGATGTTCAAGAAGAATCTAGAACATTTTGAAAGGTTCTAGAAATAACTGAAGAAATTTGAAAGGTTCTAAAAATTTATAGAAGGTTCTAGAAACTTATAAAGAAAAGTGAAAATATCCATAATATTTTAAAATATTCTATGATATTTTAGAATATTTCACACATATTTTAAATATCAGTTTAAAAATATTTTTATAAATATCTAGATATTTGTTGTAAATATTTTTATAGAATATTTTAGAGATAGAATGTACACTGTTGAAATAAATTAATCCTAATTATTTGATAGAATGTACATTGTTGAATTGAATTAATCCTAATTATCCATTAAGGAGGTGGAAACTTTTTGAAAGAAGGAGGAGGGTTATAAAATACCCCTTCACCTCTCATTTGTAACCACTCATACAAATCAATAGAACTCTTAAGTTCATATGCTCAAACTTTCTACTCTCTAGTTGTGTGAGTTGTCTTTTTGTCTAAATTTTGAGAGTTCAGCTAACTTAATAACAATCAAAAGTTTGATTATGCTAAAACTGGCATGGTTCAAAGACAAGAAGGTTTCAAGACCGTGACACTTGCCTTCAATTCGCAGCATGGATTTTTTTTTTTTTGGAGTAAAACTGCAAACTTCATTAAATAAATGTAACAACAATAACAACATGGTTATTTTCAAAGCTGTGGTCCAAATCATTACGCTTTGAAAACCATATTCCCTTTCATCAGTCATTTGATAATTGTACGTATCCTACCTTTTAAGTTTTAACGATGAAACTGTCATTACTACAATATTTTCCATCTCTAGCTATATGAACACACTCCGTCAGAGCTTCTCGTGGCTCTTATTTTGAGATGCAGAGCGTGCAAAAATAACAATAGGGGTGGATTGAAAGGGAGTTGGCGTCACTAGCAATTTAAGCCCATTAGTCAGAGTTCCTGAATTCTCTGTACTCATCGAAATCAAGGCTTCATTTTGTAACAGTACATTAGTGTGGGCAAGTTGATTGTCATAGACTTCTGATATGCCATAAACATCATCTATTGATAATGGAACTTGAAGGGTGATATATCACAAAACAATACCCTTTTCTAAAATTTCAATCTGAAATTAAATCAAGGGAAAAAAAAAAACAGAGAGAGAGAAAGATTATCCCGGGGCAGAGCCCAAAAAAAAAAAAAAGAACTCCAAAGTAAATCTGAAAAATGAAGTTCGATTGCTTTATTGTGCTGTGTGTCAAGCCCAGATTGCCAAATCACTCAGCACGTACCAAACTAAACTCTTAGGCCCTATGAAGGAACCGAGAAACTCAGCCTAAAACCAGTCTTTCCACGATCATGCTCATGCTGCCTGAGTATGTAGTAGAAATTACCCTGAAAAAGTGTGAAGTACGTCAGAGACTTCAATCTCATTTTCATGCGAATAATATTATAAATTCGCAAGCAAGCATTATTAAGTCTCTCTCAAACCGTTAAGTCCCCGATTGGAAATGAACAGAAATAAGGGAATGGCTTTATTTCATTCCGTAGTTTATATACTCCAAACATAATATATCAGGTTACCCCAAAGTCCCCACATGATTTCGTCCATCGCTAACATCCAATCTCCACCAACTTTTAGTTACTCTCACTCTGAACAGTGCTTGATTCAATATGATTATATAAATAAAATAAAAGAAACTAACCTCCAGCCGAAAAACTTTAGTTGGAATAACAATTCCACATCCCACAGACGTTCGAAATGATTCCAAAAATTTTTTAGAAGAGAACTTCCTGTATTCATTCTCAGCTAAATTGGCAATATTCCCAGCACCAGCAAAAACATGTCCATGGATTCCATGTTCTCTTAACCAGCTGATTGGAAGATCGAAAGAGAGGTCTGCAAAAGCAGTAACGGCAAGATCTCCTCCAATGAAGTCCCTTCTAGAGGAATCGACATTGTCATCATTATTTCCATCTCTACTTTGTCTTCGCGGCTCACTAGGGCCCAATGCCCTTGTCCTGAATCCCCATAATGTCGTTGGCCCTCCTAGGGCGCAAACTGGAGAGAAATCGCCGCCCAAGAAAAACCTTTCTGGCAGGGGAGAAGGCTTGTTCAAGAACCCATGGCCCCATGGAAAAATGACACCAGCAGAGATCCCAAGGTTGAGCGCTGTTTGAAAAAACCCAAAAGGAATGGCATATCGAACATCAAACTCCTGCATTAGATGAGGGGGGAAATTACTCAACAAAAGTATATTTAAAAAGAAAAATAGACATGCACATGAGGGATATTACAGCAACAGTTTATTTTAAATATATTTTACCAAGGAAGTATAGTATACACACATCTCCTGAGCAGGTTGTGATTAACTGACAATATAATCACATTGGTGGTTAAATATGATGTGACCATGCAACCATAATACACAGCCCACCATATGAACGGGAAGCAATAACAGCAAAAGCGATTAAGGGATAATTCACAAATAGCAGCATAGCAGGCTATTATATCGTTTTTATTTTTCTTTCTCCGCCGCATAATCCTTAGTCAATGATTCCCATTCAAAATATCAAGAGGCCATGGTACTTGCCACATAGAATACAGACATATTTATACCGCATCAGATGCTCCAGGAAAAAAAGATGTTCTCTCTCAAGAATTGCATCAAATTCTAAGGCCCCCCATGCTGAAAACTACTTCAGTCGTAATCTCATTTTTATACTCATTAAGTTTATCATTTCAGTTCAAATTGTATGGTCTGCATCAATATACACATTCTAGCGATAATTGTGAGAGGTTATCACATTTTGTTCATGACATATTCAATTGCAAAGCAACTGATGAGTGGAAGTCCAAATTAATAAAAAGAAATCAGTCACACCTGACGCAGGAACTGCAAGCTCCTGTGATCTGGTGCAAGGCCACCTAATTGAGTTGTAGAAAGAAAAGCATATCCTCTTGTAGGCCTAATTGTTGAGTTCCTCTGGTCAATCTTAAATGTATATTTCAAAGATGACAATAAACTATGTCCAACCTGCCTCCTAATAGATCTGGATGATATTTGTGATGGATCTGTTATGGTACGCCATCCAAGATTGTATACTAAGTCATGGTGCTTAGTTGAAAATAAGCCAAGAGACATGCCAGACGATCTCTCTTTGTATGAAGAATACTCTTGCCAATCTTGGGAATGCATGAATGCTCGTACCACAACAGGGGTTAATAATCCTTTCAATCGAGGCACAAACACCCCAACACTCACCTCTGAAGTTTGATTGGGACCATATGCTAGAGAACCATCCCACAGATCACCATAGCCTAACAAGTTTTTGAACTTTAACGCACCTTCGAGAGACCAAGAACTAACCTGCAAGACATCAGAGGATTTATTTTAAAAAGAGAAAGACATCAGATTAACCTGTTAAGTACCAACACACCACAAGAATAGGCAAAGCAAAGTCATGCAAACACTGTTAGGTCTTTGAGATGATGAATAATACACTTCAGGCAACAAAAATATCTGTCCTAACTTGGCAACAATAACAAGCTTTATCCCACTAGGTGGAGTCAACTACATGAATTGCATGATACTATTGTGTTTTAACCAAGCTTTTAGGAATAATATTAACTAAGAAGTCTCGTTCAATAACTTTCATAATTGTTCTCTTTGATCTTCCTCTACCCCTCTTTATAGGCTCAAGATTATCCATTCCACTTTCTTCAACGGTGCCTTTTGCAGCCCTCTTTCATATAGTATATCTTTCTTTCATATTTTCTTTCTTAGATGTAAATTTTGAAAATGTTGAAAGGACTCAAGAAGGGCATTTCAATAACCATAAAAAACCCAGTTGGAATAATATGATAACAAGGCTCAGAGGATTGAAGGACACGAGGGCAATGAAACATTCAGTTATGGGAATCATAAAGTGCAGTTACAACTTACAAGCAGATGGGGTATTTGGAATTTCTTTTAATATTCATTGTAAAGCATGTTCATTGAAATACTTCTTTCCAACCAAACAGTCTGCATCGGGTGAAAAAAATAATACTGCAAGATATTATTCTTGGTCATCTATATCCATATTACCGACAGCTAAGAACATACAACAAGGACAAGTACTTTTCTGTACTGTAATACATTTGTATGCTGTATCGCAGCTACCATGCAGTAGCTTTACTATTAAAAGTTCATCAAGTAGAAAAATTGCCACCACCTTTGACACCATTTTTCCGAAAAACTCTGGGAGAAGCCAAGGTGGTGTATGCATCTAAAGAGAATAACCCAAGGTCTTACTAAAAGATGACAAGGACTGCACAAAGAAAATAGTGCTGCTTTCTCTACAACTTAACCGGAGCCTCTTTGCAGCCTAACTAATAACCAGTGGAACAATTAGGTGAAGATAAATATGCATCTATGGTGCTCCTAGCCAGTAGCCATCCAAGTGCCATCCAAAACATGATCACAAAGAGAGATTAAAAAGCTATTAACATCAAAGATAGAAGCTCCTTAATCCTAGAATGGTCATATTGCACAAATCCCCAGCTAGCATCAAAACCAGCTACCCAGTTGAAATGCAAACTTTTCATAACTTCTTAGTTTCCCATGCTTGCCACTGTGGATATCTCGAAAACAAAAAATGTAAAAATGATTAGAGTTTTGCGGTACTTTAAAGTCTACAACAACCATCATGAATGAAAAGGTGCGACTTCAAACCTAAGAGGAAATATATGGGCTTTCTGGAACTCACACAACAGAACCAGAATTTCTATTTTCGTCAGCAACCATGTCTGTCGTTTAGCATTTAACCAGGCTTAAGATATCCAATACCAAATAGGTTTTGCTTTTACTAGCATAAATCTGCAATGTATAATGCTATCTCATAAACTAACTAAAACGAATTCGAAAGACAACATATTTCTTTAGAATCCTGCAAATTAGACTAATAACTTGCATGCCAACCGTAAATCAGTTTAAATATTCAACCCATTTACTTCTGACTTCTCAGCAGCCAAAAGAAATAGTTAGCAACTCACAAGTAATCCATACACGGAAAATTAAACCACAAATAACCAATTCAATCTCGAAATAGCATCACACAAGGAGAGAAAATGACTGTACCGAGGGTTTTGAATAAATGCCGACTTCACCAGAAGGGTTGCTGTCGGTCTCTGAGACCTCAATGATGACATTGGCAGTACTAGCCAACTCTGGTGGTCCTGGTTCAAGCTTAATATTGACTGCATCAAAAATCTGGAGGCTATGAAGCTTCGCATTGGCAATTTTGGCCGCTTCTACCAGCTCTTGCATAGTCGTGGCGTTCTTCATCCCCTCCACCTCAGCCTCGATCACCCAATCCTTGGTTTTCGTATTGCCCCTTATTATCACATCATGGACTCGAGCAGGAAGCTCCCGTTCGTCGTTGTCTTCGTCATCATCAACTTCCTCGGAGTCGTCGTCTTCATCGTCGTCATTGGAAAAATTCTTCGTATTGGGGCCATTTTTAGGGATTGCAGGAAACGGAAGTTGATTTTCTTCGTCTGAGTTTGCCATGAGAGATTACTAGAGGAAGTTGGTTGGGACTTGGGAGAGAGTTAAGAGATAGCCGGCGAATGTAGGAAGCTCTGCAAGCAGAAGGAAGACGGCGATGCAGGAGCAGATGGTGATCGATGATTAACTGTCCTAGCAGTACATTCTACATATATATATATATTAAACCAGCATTCTGACAGTAATTTTTGGGTGAGCAATTTTGATTCATTTTAAATTGTTTATATAAATTTTTAATTTCCATTGATTTTAAAAATATATTCTTATGTGTTTATCCATGTTTAATATAAAATATCTATAATCTTGGCCAAAGAAAAAAAAAATCTATAATAAAATAATGTTTTCTCTTAAATTATGAAGGGTGGAGCTGTAAACATAACTTCAAAATAAGATCCATATTTTAGTCTAAAATAGAAATGTTAGCTTTAAATCTTAAAACTTAAATTTAAATTTATTATAATTTTTTAATTTTTAAAGTTCTAATTCATTTTGTGCGTATATGTAATATGTAAAGTGCAAACACTACATGTACACGCACTCTATGAATATCATGTGTATGATGGTTATAAGGCCATTTTCTTTTAGATCTCTTAAAAAATCAAAATATCATTGATACAATGATTTTTATACATGCCTCTACAAAATTAAAAAGGAAAAAAGCCACCTTAGTTAAAATTTATAAAACTAATAAATTTAATCTCCATAATAAATCCTTAAGAATTTAATTTAGATGTGCCAAGCTCAGCACAAAAAAAAAAATTATAAAACAATAAAGTATTCTATTTAAATGATTTTGTCCTCAAGTTAAGTCGTTATTGTAAAAATAATTCTGATCTGACCTACAAAATATGGAAAAATAATTGCGACCTTGCCGCTCAGCACGCTCAAATTCAAATCAGGCAAACCAACATCGACCGTCGCCGCTGCCGATCCTGCTCCGAAATGGCTAGTCAAGACCTTTCCTCTTCCATATTCTCCGACATCGAGACCTACTCTGGCAAAGACCCTCTTCTTCCTTGGCTGCGGTATGCTTCTTCTCTCCTCCCTCCTCTGGCTTCTCTTCTCTAACATTCAAGGCTACCTCCAACGTGAGTTGGTGCAGAGGGATTCGAAAGATGAAGGACAATCTGTCTCCTGCGACCCTCAACGACAAGCTGCCTGAGTTCTTACAGAAATGTGCGCAGACTTTTGAGTCCGACCGACGCTACCGAAACGACATGCGGTATCTTCGGGTTTGGCTGCACTTGGTAACTGAAGCACCGTTTTCCTTTATCCCCCTCTTTTTTTCTATGTCTATTTTCAGCTAATTGATAGATTTTTCAAGACTATGCTTCATTGCTGATAAATGGGATTGGAAATCGTGATGAAAAAGCCATGACTTGGTAATATAAAAAAAATCTATTATTTGAGTTATTGTGATGATTTTAGGAAGTTCATCGTTCGATTCCAGTTTAACTAAAGGGACAGTCAAATGGTTTATAGTCTTTTTCCTTGATTTTCAGATGGATTTTGTGGATGACCCGTTGTCGCTTTTGAAAATCATGGAGGTTAATCATATTGGGACAAAACGTTGTCAGTTCTACCAAGCATATGCTCTTTACTATGAAAAGAACAAGAGATATGATGAGGCTGAGAAAATGTACCATCTGGGAGTGAAAAAGTAAGTTTTTCTGTAGTAGTAAGCAATCAACATTTTTGTTTGAATGAAAAAAAATGCTAACAGCTCACTAACGCTCACCTGTTGCGCATGTCTTATGATAAACTGCTCTTTATTCCCGAAAAACAAAAACCTTCAGAAGAAAAAATATTTTCATAGCCCGTTGAAAGTGCCAAGGCGAACCTCCAGTGCTCTGAACTTTGCTATCTTTTGCCCACAATAATTCATTTCCCACTCATTCCACTCTTTTTTTTTTTCCTTGGGTGAAAACAATCCACTCTTTTTTATTAGGCCGACTGATATGTTTTTCCAGTGAAATGGAATACTCACATCAAATTGCCATTCGATTATGCCGCAGAGATCAATCTCAGTGCTTTTTTTTTTTTTTCCTAAATGAATTTTATTTTCTGCCATTTGAAACATATTGATGGCCGTAAAAGTGTCCTGGATTTTTTTTTTTTTTCCTAAAGACCCCACTAGATAAAGCTTGTTGTTGTTTTGTTTCTAAATAATTTGTACAAAGGAAAGGTATATAATTTGAACGCAAGTGAGTCATTTGCCTTTTGGCTTATTGGCATGGTAGATGTAGAATGCACCTAACTATGCTTTAGCTGGTAGGAGAGGCCTATTAGCCTATGATGCTACCCTAATCTTTCAACAATCACGTTCTTTTCCCTTTTTTGTCGAGCAGCCTTGCAGAACCTATGGATGACTTGCAGAAATCATACGAACAATTTCTTGGTCGAATGGAAAGAAAGAAAAACAAAAAAATCCAGGTAGTGCCCACGAAAGTCTTGTATTTTGGCCTGAATTTCTTTCTTTGTGACATAATTTTAGAAAGATCTCCATCGGCAGCAGGAAGGGAGAGCTTCCAGGAGGCCTCTGTCTATAAAGAATATTCCACCTCATTTCAACAAGACCGAGGGAAAAAGTGAAGCATGTAGCACTGAGAGTGTTCATAAAGGACCTCAAATTGCTACTTCTGTGGGTAAAAGCCTTGCTAATGAAAGGCTTGTAGAGAAGGGCGAGGGCAAGAGGTTGTGTGATGAACCCACAGTTGTTGGCAAGTTTGTTGGCACTGCCCTTGTCGGAAGGTCTGAAGCCGAAAACGCCTGCCATAATGGACTGTTGGATCCTACAATAAATATGAAGGAAGCAATGAATGCCATTAATAGTATGTTCCGCGAGCCACTAGAGGATGTTCCCATGCCCAAGAAATCACACAAAAACTGGTCGAAAGAAGATCACCTTGCACAGAAGGGATTAGAGTTTTTTATTGATGAAAACTTGGATAATGGAATCAAATCATCAGCTTCTTCATCTCTGCAGGACGGTACTGAAACAGGCCAATCTCATCAAAAACCACTTCAAATATACATTGATGATGAAGAACGCAGTGAAACTAGTGACATAAACGATGAACAGAGTGATGTCCAGAACCTCTCAGAAGATTTTACTTCCTCTGCTTCTCAATTGAATGCATTTGTTTTTCTTCGTCCCAAGGATATTCCTTCTGAAAAATCTGGTGATATGGATGCACGAAGTTCCCGTAAGTCGAAGTTCAGAGAGGATACAGTCGTTTGCCGATTTGTTGGCTCCGCCATTTCGGATGAGCCAGTGGTAGAAAATGTTTGTCACCATGGTTTGGTAGACCCCACAATCAACATGAAGGAAGCTATGGATGACATTAATAACATGTTTGGGAAGCCAATGGATTTTGTGAGGCGAAAAAGATCAATGAAGCAGGAAAAGGCACCCGAGAGCAATAGCAGAAAAGAGTTCGGTGGGTTTTCAATTCTTGCTGATGATGACTTGGAACATCAAAAAGAGCCACCACCTCCAAAATTTGCGGGGAAGTCAGAATCTGATTTATTTGAGCCAACTCTCCTCACAAAGGAGGCAATAAACGACATAAACAAGATGTTCAATATGCCGTTGAATTTTTAAGAACAAATTGATTGCTGATACTGTAGCATGTATCAAAAACTGTTAAAAAATTATTGAATGCAAGCAGAATTGCCTTTGATTTGCCTGAGGTAATCAAATGTGAGTTATCTTTTCTGTGTTGTCCTTCTCTATTAGTTTTTCCGTCTTGCGCGAATCTTTTTGCTTATGAAACTCGAATGGGAGAGTGGTCAAGAAAAACAAAATCTGGTTCTTGATATTGCACTCGAGTTTATTACAATAATTAATGTGGCAAAAACACGACAACAATTTTCTGCTAGATCAACAAAAACTAAAACAGCAACTGTCAAACATAATACTGAAACGGATCTCAATACAAATGTTTCTAAAATAACAAAGAACAATCTTATGCAGCATAATTAGAATTGAGTAGTGTGAGAGCAACCATTGGGACGAAAAGCCAAGGGGCCAGCAGCATATACGACAGCCTCGTATCTGCTTCCATGCAATCTCTTGTTCTCATAACGGAGTGGAGCTCCGTCGAGTGCATAATTGACATTGGACAGGAGGCTGCAACTTTCAACAGAAGACCAAACAAGCTTCACGAAGCAAGATTGGAGGGGGTGATCCAACAAATAATTCTGAACCTTAAACCCTTCGAGCTGTGCAAAAAGGTAGCCGTTTCTGTTGGTCTCGAAGACCTTGTAGTAACTAACTTGACCCTTGTGGTTCTTGCAGGTAACGCTTACTTTGGCAGCGGCAATGGGCCTGGCTCCAGTCAAAGACCAGGTTCCATAGTGGTCACAGCTCTGACAGTAGACCATGGCTTCCACTACCACATCTGTTTTCTTCTCTGTTGGCACATAGTCATCTGCTTCTGTGGAAGGGAAGACGATTAGGAGAAGCACAAGAGAAAGGCTAATGAGGTGCGTGCTTGCCATTTCTCGTAGGAGTGAAGTGACAAGGAAGAGTTCAGAGCTGAGGGACGATTGATTCGCAGTGAAAAAGATGGCATGTACGTGAGTGTGTATATATAGGTTATCAATAATTCATAGTGCTGGTCGCAACGTGCCCCCCATTAGGCCAGCGACTATGATTCTTCCTAGCTGTCAACGTGGGAGCCACCTTCAGGGTTGCATTTTCTTCCGTGATGAGATTCTAGGTTACCTGATTGAGTATGTAAGTAGATATATGGCCAAATAAATAAATATGCCTTGTTTATTATGTATGCAAAGCTTTAAGTACATGCCAGAAGATTTCCTCACCTCTCTGAAGATGTCACAAATAATTGCATTCATTTACTCGTGCTTAATTAGATATTTTAAAATGAGATTACATAAATGTGTGTGCGTGTGCAATTTATGGTTAGGGTAAGTTTATGAGTAAATATTTATATATTTTTTTAAAATTAGCGTCTGATGTTATATTTTTTAAATATTTTGTTTTAATTTTTTTAAATATTTTGTTACCACAATTAATTATGGATTATTAACTCTAATCACTACAATAGTTTCATACAGGGTATGTTTAAAATGTTTGAGACATCGCTGGAAGGAAATTTTAAGAGCGAAATAGTTTCGAAGGCCTGAGGGGAAGTGAAATTGTTTGAGATGTATCTTGGCTACCAAACTAAGACCGTGATGCAACTCCTTGAAATTTTTGAAGGGTTGAATCCCTACTAGGTTGAAAATTTTTCACAAATTGATGGTTTTTGCGAGTCAATAAAAAGTAAAAAAATATCAACTTAGTTCAAAATGAGAACTATCAGAATTATCATCTCTTCAATATTATCAAAGAAATAAAAAATCTTGTTATACGTGCAATTGAATTGTATCTTTATATTATGTTTTCAAAAAAGCCAATTGCTAACTGGCTTGTTCATCAAGCCAATTACAGCTGTTGAGATACTAAATTCTTAATAACTCATATATTATATGTAAGAATCTTTTGTTATTTGATTGGACCTAATTCTTTAATTCTCTACACAATTTAGTCATGGCCATTTAAAAAGACATTGAGTCTGTTGTCAAACTTTTAGGATGGGTATATTTTCACTATTTAATATAAATTTGCAGTTTTTTTAAAAAGCTTATATACAAAAATTTAAAAAATATGAATAAATTTATGTAATGAAGATTGTTACTACTACTATTTTTTAAAATATGTTCTTGTCAAATTATCATGTTGGAAGAAAATTCTAAACAAAGAATTTATTCCTAACCTTGAATCTAAATTAGCTTATACGTCTAAATATAGAAAAACATAGTTATAGTCAATTTCATTTCAATAATTTTATAATAACTCTCAAATAATAATAAAATGAAACTATTCATTCAATAAAAACGTTGAAATAATAGAACTTTTCTATTCTATTTCAGTTCATCGCATACTGCTTCTTTATATTAAGGACACCAAAAAAAACTAGATTGGTCTAATAGGATTAGGAGACTAATTTCAATCTTGTCCAGTATCTCACTTTATTTTTTTCTTTTTCATATGTGAAAGGTAGCAATTTATTTTAATATAATAAACTCAATTAACATAATAAAATTAATTATAGTCATAAAATTTATTACAACAACAATTATAAATCTATAACAATCTCCAATGACAATAAAAAGTATTTGGGTTACCCATTACACCATGTTAACAACAAATTCTACTACTAAAGTTAGTTGATGTTGAAATTTTGCTTAATATTTATGATTTTATAAGTATAAAAACAGAAAAATTTACTAATTATTATTATAAATTAATTTATTATAATAATTATTAATACATCAATTATAATTATATTAAATAAATTTATAATACTGGATGAAATTAAGTGGTCCAAATGTTTGATCTTTTACCTAGCCCAATTCAAAAAAAAAAAGCCTGATCTTTTTAATTTTTTTAATCTTAAGAGATTAATTTTTATCTAGATCAAAGCAAACTGAGTTGTATCGAATCAAATCAAAAGAATTTTGTACAGCCCCTAATATACACATGGCCTATCCTCCCAGTAAATAATGTGGTTCTGCCGCTCCTTTAGAACATATGAACATGAGAACTTTTTTTTTTTGGTTGACCTGAATGAACACGTCAATCAATCGTTGTCACCCAAAAAATAATAATATTTATAATTTTTGGTTCCGCCATTCATTAATATTCCAACTGGAACTTTGTGCGTCCACGCGCAAATGCAAGTCCTCGTCCACGTTACATTCCTATACTGTCGGCTCATAAGACAAAGTCCTGGCAATTACCTGCATTCGATTTTTCTCCATTCGTGAATGAAACCAACCACAATAGACGATTGTTCAAAAAATTTATAATTTTTCTGGCATCATATATTTAATTAAATAACCATGTTAATGCTCAAAAATTACTCAATTTTACATATATGTATGCGTGAGTCATAAATATGCGTGTATGTTATGATACATGCACCGCAAGATTACAAATTATAATATGCTCCCTTCACTTTCTAATATAAAGCGTTTTTAACTATTTTACTAAAATTAAGAAATACCAGCTACCTTATTAAATATGTTTTAAAATATTTTTTTAACTTTATATCTATTAAAAGCAGGAAGAGGGGAATGCATAATAAACAATAAACCATAAAATTAAATTTATAACACGAATAAAATTAGATTATGATAATAAATAATCTTTCATACGCCTTGTATTAAGACTAAGTTTTTTAAAAAACTGCATTATAGTAGGTTGAAGTATTTTTTCTTTTGCGTGGAGTATCACAAGACTCTTGAACAGAAGATCTACCATCAACACTATTAAATTGCCAGACTTTAAATTCGAAACTTTTAATTAAGCTGATATAACTTTCTTATGGTTGACCCAAGCTTCCAATCTTATGTTTATGACTTCAATGGCCTAAACTATGGAGGACGAGGAGTGAGAAAGAGAAGGGTTGTAATTAAGACTGGAACTGAGTGAAATCCCTTTGGTTGCGGTAGCTTCCCACGCGGCATCGAAAGAGGAGAGCCTGCCAAGAAAAAACAAAAAGAAAAGGGGGGGGGGGGGGGGGGCCAGGTATTCACCACATGTCGCTTATATCTCCTTATATACATGTAAATTTGCAATCGTGAAAACTACATACATGTATCAACCTTCAGGTGAGTACTCTTTGCGCCTTCACCGACAGAAAAAAGATCACTGAATATTCAAACCTCCTTACTTTACAATCTGAAAGTCCCTATCATTTAGCTTCCATCTGCTGAACAAATCTCAAGCTCTGCCCACCAAAGTGGAGAAAGTCTTGGCACTGCTGCATCCGCTGTTATGTTTGTTATTTCTCTCAGCCTCGTACTAACATCTTTCATACTTGGTCTTTGCTTTGCATCAGGATGAACACAAGATTTGATCAATTCAGCAACGTGCTCTAGCTTCTCTTCTTGGAAAGAGGTTAGAGTTGGATCCACCATTTCTCTCAAGGGACGGTCTCCTTGTAAATAATCTGATGCCCAGTTTTCATGTGAGCTATTATCAACTGAATAAGGGACTCTGGATGTTACCATTTCAAATAGCACAACACCGAAGTCATAGACGTTGCTCGGTCGACTTGCTAATGGATCATCAGTGTGTTTTCTGCCCTTTGTCTTCGTCTCAGGTGATGCTGTTTCATATGAGAAACTCAAATCTGCGATTTTCCCAGCATAGTCCTCGGTGAGAAAGATGGAGGAAGAGTTCATATTGCTAAGGGTTACGGGAGGGTCCAGCTGGTGCATATATTGCAGGCAGTATGCCATGCCCATTGCAATTCTAAGTCTTGTAACCCAATCCAAGTGCTCAGCTTCTTTTACTGCAAGTACCAACATGTTCAGATTCATGAGCCATTTCCAGCACCAAAAGAATGACAGAAAGGCTTCTTATTCTAAGGAATTATTCTTGCATTTGAAAGAAAAATGGAAACATAGGAACAGGAACAGTGAACAAATAATACAACTTTCCAATACAATGAAAACTAAAATGCTTGATGAAATCTACAGTTAAGTCAATCTAAATTATGCTGTTGTGAGAGGCCATTCCCATATATTTTCTAGTCTATGCAAGTTTGACTAGAAAGATCAGTCTTTAATTCTAGGTTCAGAGGTTCTAGAATGCTGCATAATATTTTTAGAGATCCCCAATAGCCAATGGTTAAGATCTCTCTCCATGAATCTGAGCACTCCTTAGAATATGTAAATCAGTAACTAGCAAACATCATATCATTATAACAATGGATACACGTTTAGAAATGAACAAACTTGTCCCATCATGCTAGATAAGCAATTAAGAAAGACCAACAAACTGAAAATAGCAAGTTAAAAATTGAGATACTTTCAGACTATTTTCAGTGTAATAGAACCACTGAATTTATATGTACTCACTGTGTAAATGTTCAAATAGTGTTCCATTCGGCGCATATTCAAAAACCAGCATTCTGGCGAAAGGCTCCTCTTCCTCGCAATATCCAAGTAGATTGACAAAATTCTTGTGATTCACTTTTGATAACATATCAATCTGAAGCCAAAATTACATTAAGATTAAGAGTAAGCTAAATTTTAGAAGGCAGCAGATAATCAAATGACCTTGTTGAGCTTTTTAGTACGGTACCTTTTTCCTGAACTGTACTTCTAAAGTCTTTGACCAATCCTTCAATGATGTCACAGTAACAGAAGCTACAGCAATTTCAACTCCGCTAGATAAAGTCCCTTTGTACACTGTTCCAATTGGTGAAGTACCAATTACATTGCTAAAATCTTCACATGCTGCTACAAGCTCGGACCTTTTTAACTTTGGCACACCTAAAATTTTAAACCTCTGTCATGCATGCATAAAGGATAAGTATATATTTCACAGACAAAAATAGCCCAATATTAAGTTATATCAATGGGATATTTAAGGACCCAAGAAAATTAAAGTTGCTCCTTTTTTGTCTTTCTCATGTTGCAGGAATCCTGAATTTGTGTGCGCCGATGTTAACTGACAGTTTGGTTCTGATAAAATTACAAAAGAAATATTCAGATTTACCAGTTACGAATGCCTTCTGAAGCTGTCCACTTAGTCCAGTTGCCCAAGGTTTGACAGTAGCAACTTTGTCGGTTCTATAGACGCATATGCCAGCAATTAAAATAAGAAGAAATACACCACCACCTATGCCTCCAGCCAAAATTGCAACATAATTTTTTGGGGAACTTTTAGATCTTGCTTCAGGTATTTTTTGAGAAGGAGATGCAGCAGAAGAATTTCGATGAGGGGAAGTTTTATTTGATGTTACTGGTGGTACTGCCGAAGGAGTTGGGGATGTTGACGGAGGGTCAGGTAAAGGGGATGGAGATGGAGCAGGGGCAGGGCTATGAGAGGGACCAGCTTCACGATTTAAAGGATTTTTAATTTCCAGTAGTGTTCGCAGAACTCCACTATCTTGGCCAACAACATTCCTTTGAAAAGAAAAGGGATGAATTAGATTTGATAGTAAAAATTAGCCAAAATATGGAATTTAAAGGGAAAAAACAGCGCACCCCAGATTTTTGAAAAAACAGTAAACCCAAAGGAGACCTCTTTTCGGTGGATTGGTGGTGACATACCTTGGAATGGATCTGCTTGCACAAGATGGCAGTTTAGCTGCATTAGTTAGCTGGTTTTCATCCACTTGACTTTCAGAGAGCATCTTCAGTTCATTAATTTCGGGCGAGAACCCACCAAGAAGCTCATTGTTGTCCAGCAAACTGCAAGAAGAATTAAATCAATACCTAATCGCTGAAGTTTTTAAAAATTAAGTGAGATGTCTAAAGAGTATAACCCTACAGGATGGCTAGAGAGATATTACTCCCAAGATCTGCTGGCAGAGATCCGCTGAAGTTGTTGTATCCCAAATCCAAAACCTCCAACTCTTTCAATTTGGTAATTTCTTCTGGGATGATCCCATAGAATGAATTATTTCGCAGAATACTGCTAGCATATTCACAGCGATTTTATTAGGCAACAAAAAAAATTATATAAGTAATGGGTGAAAGTTATACACTTCCCAATGCATCCAAGTAGCAAGCATCTTACATGGACTTCATATGAGCAAGGTTCGCAAGCTCAGGTGCCAGAGTTCCTTCAAGGCAAAGATCTTTCAAATTCCTGGACAACAAAATCATTTCTTATAATTAGAACAACCCCAAGATTGAAAAGAAGGTCAAGGTAAAAATACTGAGTCAACTATATTAAGAAAGGCACATTTGCCATTGGAATGTAAGAAGTATCACGATATGATAAAATTGATCAATTATCATCAAAAGAACATGAACACTCGTCATATACACAGGATTTCTGTGCCATCAAACAGTTTTGGCAATAAATCATAGAAAATAAACCTAAGGGGGAAAAAACCCAATGTCATCTAACTGAAAGATCCAAACATAAAATGTGTTCCTCTTCCTTCATATTCTTAGAAAATAAAAAACGCCACTTACAAAACCACCACTCTTCCATCTACGCACTGAACTCCGAACCAATTGCACGGGTCAACTTCTCCTTCATCCATCCAATTTGACAAAGCACCAAGAGGGTCGCTCACTATCCTCTGCCTCAACTTCAAGAGCGCATTACCTGCCCAGAAATACCATATTCAGCTTCTCTGGGATGGCAACAACTGAATATAGGGAAGTACAGAATCTCAAACCCAAAATTCCTTACCTTCGTCATTTAAAGAGCAGCACAGACCCAAGCACTGGAAGAGCAACCAAACCACCAAAAAGGGGAAAAGCCCCCGATGATCCCCGAACTGACTGAAATTCCAGTTCCTTTTCATTATTGTTGCTAATCGAGGACGACTCGCACGGAAACAAAAGAACCCAGACTGAGTTTTGCAAGAAAAAGAAGATGAGCTGAGTTGAATCGCGAAGCCTTCCAGCGTCTCAAGGAATGGTTAGTTGAAAGGAAGACGGAGAAGCAAGAGAGGCGATGTCAAAACCAGGTTTCCAGCGCTTGCAAATTAGTTTAGATTCAGAAAGTTTTGAAAACGCGTAGGCTCAAAATGTTTATCAATTTTGTAGCAAAAGAAATACTACTATAAAATACGCCGCACAAGAAATTTACACTGCCATGGCAGGAAGGAAAATTGCTGACTTGGAAATTTAGAATTGTCCAAAGCAACGTTTGGAATAATTGACTCCATGTCATTTAGACTTTAAAAGATCGAATGTCATTTAGACTTTAAAAGATCGAATGAATGACAATAATCAAGTTCTCAACAAAATTTTTTAAAAAAATAAATTATAAATATCCATTTATATAGTTATAAATAAAAATCTTAATTACTATAAAAGTTATATTTAAATCTAAATATTTATCACAATTATTTAAATTGACACTTTTAATTTATTTTTATATTTTTTTAAAAGATCTCATTGTTGTTAATTCAATATTTTGGGAATTAATTGTTATTCCTTTAAATTTAAAACTCAAGTATATTTGACCTAAAAAAAAATAAACAAAAATATACCAATTCAATACAAAAAGAAATGCTAAAAAAAAAAAATAACCAAGTTGGGGTAAAAACTTGGTTCATAATTCATGAAATTGTATTTTTAAATTTTAAAACAGACGTGAGAAGTTTATTGATGATATTCATAGACTAACTTACCCATACTTTGTTTTAGCAAAAAAAATATATATATATATATTATTCTCAACTCATTACCAATGATTTAACTTTCAGATTGTTAAGAGATAATGGTAGAGGTGATATGAAATGAATGGATGATGGGACATGCAGAGGCTGGAAGTGTATTGTGTGGATGAGAGTGGGGTGATAGGAGCCAATGATCCGCCGGCGACTTGCTTTGCTTGACTTTGTAAAGGAGAAGGAAGTTGATGATGATGATTATATCAAAACAAGATGTCTGCTGTTTTGGACCTGGTAAAACGCCCCCCTTTTCTGCATTTTCGCACTTGCCTCGAAGTTTCCCTCTCTTGCTATGAAGCCTTTCCACATATTAATAATTCCATATCGTCACACTTTTTTGTTTGAGGTCTCGCGAAATTTTCTCACTGGCCCACACATCACTTGCCCTTTTAATTATCTTTGCTCGTCTCCATTTTTCTTTTTCTTTTTTCATTCTCATATGAAAAATAATTTTATTTAAAATATAATTAAATATTAAATGAAGGCACTTTTTTAAATGAAAATTACAACCTTGATTCTCGTGTTAGAAAAAACTAACCTTTTTCATTTTCAGTAGCTACAACCCATATTAGTTTTTGTTTCGTTTAATGGTGAAAGTCTATATAATTTCATTTAAACTCATACAAGTGATTATGAAGCTCGTCTGCACTGTTTGGATAATTTTTTAAAAATCTCGATCAATCATGATTTAGATTCTTTAACGAGCGTGAGCTACCAGGAGATGCTTTTGCATTTAAAAAATCACCATTAGATTTTTATTAAATTATATTTGGATATTAATAATTCTAGAAAATTGAACAGCTTTATAAAAATTATACCCTCTTTAAGTAATTATATATGTAAACATGATTTTGATTAACACAGTCCAAATAAAATTAACTTTCTCATAATCACTTAAGAAAAAACTATTCAAACGAAAATCATACTTTATCAAGACTACTTTTAATTAATATCATTTTTAAAAATCATGATTATCTATGATCTCGATAGTTCGATTTTATTAGACTCATCTTCCATATGCATAGGAAAATTGCATTGATCTCGTAAACTCGTCATGCGTGTGCATCGCATAGAAATTTTTTTAAGTTTTTGATAGAAGTAGTCATGTTCTACCAACCTTCTGGTAATAAAATAATAAATGAAAAGTGTAGTACTCATCAATATAAAATATAAATAGAATAATATAGCTCATATCAAGATTTTGTATAAACAGCACAGCTAATGTCAAGTTCCTTGCAAATGCATAGAATTCTCTCTAGATGAATTATTATGATAATTTTTTCATTAGTTTTATCGGGCTTGTAAACATATAAAATAATATGAAGGTTGGTATCAAAAAGTCTCTAACTTCCTAAAAAAGAAACTTGGAAAAAAATAAAAACTCTCTAAAAAGTGTAGAGAAAGAAATAAGCGCTGTAATTAGGGTTAAAAAAAAAATTGCGCCTGCAACAATTTCCCAACGATCTCATGCTGTTGGTAGAGTTTAGTTCACACGTGGCTAGCTAGAGTGCAATGGAATTTTAGAAGGATATTATGTATAGATACATTTTTCCGTTTGTTTGATTACACACGCTACAGTGTACGTTGATGATAAATGTGAATGTTGAATGATTGGTTGCCCAACTTGAATGGTTACGTGTTCATGGATCCTTCAAATGGGTCGGTGATAGAGGGTTTTAATTTGAGTAGGAGAACAGAAAGGTAAGATCTGAGTTAACCGATATAGTTTAGAAATTTTATTATAGCGGAAAGCAGCCCATGACTAAAAATTTATTAAATAACATTTGGATTGATTGATTTAAATTTAAATTTTAAATTTTAAATTTTAAATTTATATATTTAAAATTATTTGTTTGAGTAGTTTACAAATTTAAATGAAGAAAAGATGTAAATTATTATTTAAAATGAAAATAAAAATTAAAAATCACTACAAAAGAACAATTGATTGGCGGCTGAAATTTTTATTGTTAATTAATGAAAATTCTGCCGCTAAGCCGGTTGGCAACGAAATTAAGCACCGTAATTAATTTGTTAGTGATAAAATTTGCAATTAACGACATCACCTCAATAAATTAATATCACCTCATCGTCATATAATTTGTCATTATCACATCGAATATTGTTACTTTCAATTATTAATTGGTTAAGCTTGAACTTGCTGTCACATACTATCCAATATTTTTATGTCCACCTTATTGCCAGTTAAGTTTAAAGAAATATTCAATTTTAATTAATAAATTAAATATATAATATTTAATCACACATATATGTTAATATATATATATTAAACTTTACTTATTTTTTTAACATTACAATTTGTGAACTACGTAGTTTGAACTGTGCAGAGTATATTTATAAAATTAATATATATTAATTATAAAAATTTTAATATTAAATTAAATCCTTTAAATTAAATATAGGCCATATTAAAAATAAAAAGTTTATTAAAATTATTTTATAATTTTTATTTTAATAAATATAATATGTAATAATACTTAAAATATGAATTATTTAAATTAAAGTTTTGATGGTTTGAATTTCATCTCAAAAATCATTGAAATGAGTAGGGAAACCAATTCTTCATAAATGCAGGGACGATTTCAATCCTCCATCCCTCATCTATAAACTAAATTGGTGTTGAATTTCCTAACACGTAAAAAATAAAGAAGAATCGGTGATTGCTACTGTAACATAATTTCGGAGAAGATGTGGACAAATGTGACGCAGAGATTTAATTTAATTAATTAGATTGGAGAGTCGAAAGTCACGTTTAGAAGCCAAATTATCATTATCTAGCTTTTACAGATGAACCGTCCCTCACTCATCCTTATTTTGCGTTCAAAGCCTAAACTCTTTCAAGTCTTTTTTACCCCTTCCTCTTCTTGCTGGTTTTTTTAAAAAAAAAACAAAGAAAAACCTTTTATTTTTTTATTTTGACACTTTCAAGGTTCAGGTCATCCTAGTGCCAAAAAAAAAAATGCCATTTGAGTGCTCTTAATTCTTTAATATAAAGTAAGGGCAACTCACAATCTCACGTCCCATTTATTCTAACATTTCTTAAATTTGATGGGCCAGCAGTGGACCATATCTCTTGTATTTTCCCCATTATTGTTTATCAACTCACCTAAACTGTTAACCAAAAAAATAGTCGTATGAAAACAAATTACTAGTTCAAGAAGCATCAAATTGATTGAGTCGTGTCATTATATATACCACAAAACTCCTTACTAAAATATAATGATTTTTTAATGGTTTTTATGTATATTAAGGAAGTACAATTTATTTAATTCTGAATTTAAAAAATAAATGTAGATAATCACAATAAGCTAGACTTAGACAATTGCAATAATTCATTTTATAAAGCTCTAAAGTCCATCCCGGGGAACAGTGTGACTAATAAATTACAAGACCAAACAAGGTTCTCATCGTCAGAATTCATGAATGAGGCTACTGGCAAGTCAATTATAGAAGCAAACTCAGCACAGGCTGCACAGCAGAGCCGTGAGGAGCGAGGTTGGCCGTCACCATCAAACGAAACGATTATCGTTTGCCCCTTGCCACACGATGAAGCGATTCGTCTTACTCAACTTCGTGTCATGCATCCTTTTCATCTTTTCCTTCTGAAAATATAGATAGATGAAAAATATACATATCACACTCATTCAACAGTCAATACACAATAAAATAATTGAATGAATTAGAACAATAATTCTATGTAATATGCATAGCATATCTACATATACATGTGGTGAGAATTGATGGGGTAGAGTTATTTCACTGTCAATGTCAGTCAATATATGAATGCATGTCCTCTTGTTACCTGTAGTTGAAGACAAAGTGGCAGGCGGTCAGGTTGGTCCGCGAACGAATTAATTTGGTAACAAGAGACACGAATTACCGTGGCCATATTCTTTTGCAGGGCTTGTGGCTAAGAGACTGACCAGTATGCAAGCCACTCTGCGAGGATCCAATTTTTTGAAGCTGATAATAGAACCTGGGATGTCATATCACTCGTGCATTTGCAATACCTTTTGATTTGGATTAATGCACTATTCTCTTCTTTGATTCTTCAAGAACATGGTGTCTATAGCCAACCAAAATAAAATAATGTGTCTAATTTTTTTTCTTTATCTTCCTACTAACTAATGAGATGCTACATCCACAACTTTTCAGTCTGATATATACGACCGCATATTTCATATGCAAAACAATTTATTGAGGTGGTAAACTGGAACTTGAAGGAGTATATTTGCCAAATTCTTCACTTCATTCTTAGCTTATTGTTTCGAATCTGATCCAAGGATGAACGAAAAGTAAGTAAAAATATATGCTTCAAGAAAAACTGGAGCCAAAATGTTTAATAAATAGTTTGAAATAAACATCTTTTTTTAAAACTAAATTATTAAATTAATCAACAGTAAAATAAATAGGGGGAGGGCATTTCGATAAACTAATTAATAAACCCTCTTTTAACTTATTGGAGGATGGAAATACTATCCTAGAAATAGATAACATATATATATTTTTTTAATCACAGCAGACGTCTATCCAAATTTTATTAAAAAAGAAGGGAGCTATCATAACATATAGTATAAAAGCTATTTACTCAAACCAATAATGACTACATTGAACATTATTGCAATCTTCTAATTTAAATATTACCAAGGTATTTATTAGTTGTATTTCTAACTATGTAGCTTTTCCCCCCTCGAAAAAGTATTCTTCTATTGAGTGCAAATTCTATTCAATATACCATTAGACACTAAATAAAAACCTTTATTCTAATAAAAACTTGAATTTTAATTTATCATATTACGAGAGATTAGCTCATTCTGTTAAACTCAACTCTATTAATGTATATATTTGTTTTAAATTGGGTACATGGAATCAAAATGCCCAATACATGTATAGGCCTGCTCAAGATAGTAATTCTCAAACTGAGTACAAATTCTGCATCAGTGTTTTTTTAAGTATATAAAGAAAATAAAGAAAATGTTATGAAAAAAGACAAAGAGCAAAGAGATTTAAAATCTATGTAAAGAAAATAAACATCATACAGTCTCATTTCTCTGTTTTATTCACGAAATACACATCAAGAGTAACAAACAGTACAAACGCTAAACAACAAAACTAAACTCAACGCAAGATGAACAACTAGGGAAAAATTAAAAGACCCCTCAAGGAACCAAACAAAAAGCCAAGACCAACTAATACAAGCAACAAAAACCAGTCTACAAATTGAAGGTGCGTGCGGTGACTTTACTATTGAGAGTGAAAATGAAGGGAAGGGATCGATCTGGAGGTTTGCTTTTGATCAGGAGAAAACACTCCAGAATTCTCGTTCTTACTTGGGCTTTGCCTTATTTTGCACCCAAAAAAAAAAAAAATCACTCATTGATAAATACTATGAAAAAAAAAAGAAAAAATTATGTCAGATTATGAGGTCACCTTAAAGCATTGTCTCAGAGAATGAGAGAGTATTAATATAGTCCCAAAACTTGAAATTTTTTACAGTTAAGTCTGTAATAATTTTTTTAAAAAAATTGCAAATATTGATCTAAGAGTAATTCCAACTACAAATTGAAAGTTATACTTAAACTTTAAATATTTTATTTATATTTAAAACTACCGAATTTATGACCATCGAATTAATATTTACAAATAATTCTTGCAAAAAATTTGATGAAAACTTTACTATTGTAAATTCATTATTTTAATATTTTATTGTCATTCTCTCTTAGAAAATGACAACTAAGCCATTAGCTGGCTTGTTGTGAGCACAACCTTGGAGAGAGTTTTTTTTTTTTTTGGGTACAAAATGGGGCCTAACTTTGGAGAGAGTTTTAATATTCAGTTCCTATGAGCCCCGATCGGTTTGATCGCCCGTGAGAGCATTTTACATTTTGATAGGTACAATCATGAGCATTAGATCTATCCTTCAATTTTATTCCCTGCATGGTTTTTGACCAAAGAGTCTCGTGCATGCTGATCATGGGTAAGCAGCAAGATTGAAAATTTGAGGATTGGTTGAATTTTTGTTGGGGGTGGAGCGAAAGAACATGAGGGACGTCATCTGAATCTCATGGCATAAGATCAACATTGCGAGATGGGCGACCCTCGAAGGTAGAGGCCGCTTTTCCACGCATGTGAATCCTGGTGCATTCGACGCAGGATTTTGCTTTTGCTTTTGTTTTGTTTTGTTTTGTTTTTTTTTTTTTTTGGTTTAACCCAAGTTCTACGAAGGATTAGGGAATGGAACGCATGCCTATTTGGTGAGGTTGGCCAAACAGCACAACTAACTGAAATTTGTAAGTAGCTAGCCAGCCTCCACAATACTAACAGGAGAGGAAAAGAAAAGATAAATTGAGAAATACAAAAAGATGCTATGCAATTTCTCTTATTTTATTTTAGAGACAACTTAATTAATGTTTAACATCTCTCCATGCATAATTATATTTATCAGCAATTTGGGCCATTGTTAACTTTAAAAAACAGTACTAGTATTGTAGAGCACAACATTCCTCCATTGTTTTATGACAAGTTGGGCTACAATTATTTGCCAGGAACAAGTTTATAAATTTAAGAAAGATAGATTTCATGAGATTCTGTAACAGATAATAGCTGGGTTGGATCACGTGGAGTGTGGTACGGAAGTCCAGATTCACAGAATTGAACCATAATCTACTGTGGTATGAAGGAGATGGAGAGGCTGGCGGAGGTAACCGAATCAGAGATTCGAATAGACTTCTCTCTCAACTGCAAATGCCGAGCCACCGTGAGTCTCCGATCTCTATGTGCTGCCTCGCCACTGGCCTTCAAGGTCCAGACCTCCTCCCCCAACAAGTTCCTCGTTAATCCCCCCGCCGGACTCATCGCTCCTCTCTCTTACGCCACCTTCCAAGTCATCCTCAAGCCTCAGTCCCAACTTCCCCCAACGTTCCCCCGCTCTCCCTCCGATCGCTTCCTCATCAAGCTCGCTCAATTCCCTCCCAACTCCTCCAATCCCGTTCCCTCTCACTCCATTAATTCATGGTTCTCCTCTCTCCCATCCTCCGCTTCCACTCATAATCTCAAACTCAAGGTTGCCTTCGTCGGCCCCCTCCTTCTCCGCCATTCTGTCGCGCGTGGCGATTCAGATGCCGTCAGGAACCTCATCAAACGGCAGAGGTCTCTACTCGCCGATTTGTCGCCCAATGAAGCCGAGTCGCTCCTCCGAGTCGCCACCGGGTTGGCTAACCCGGACGGCATGGTTCACTTGCTGTTGGAAGCCGGGTTGAGGGTGGAGGAGGCACTGGGATCTGGTAACGTGGACCAGAGATGGGCTTCGAAGGGCTGGGATGAGTTACACGTGGCGGCAGCTTTTGATCTGGCGGATGACATCCTGAGGTTGTTAAAGACGAATCCGTCGTGGCCGTTGGATTCCAGAGATCACAAGGGTAGGACCCCTTTGCATTTGGCGGCAGATAAGGGAAATATCAAGTGCGCGCGCGTGCTGGTGGAGGGCGGTGCCAATGTGAATGGCAGGTGTAACGACGGTCGTACGCCGTTATACAGAGCGGCGGCGAATGGTGACCGGAGGATGGTGGAAATGCTGGTTGAGATGGGCGCCGACCCAACTATAGCCGACGATCGTGGCCGTTCGGCCCTTTCCATTGCTAGTGACGAAGGACACGTGAGTGATTCCTATCATTTTTGTCACATTACACATGATAGCCGTTAGGGCCCATTTGTTGCAAGTATGAGCTCAACTTTATAGTTTATAAAAAACCCAGTGGTGTACACCAATTTTTTTTTTTTATTATTTATTCTTGAATGCAGGTAGAAAAGATTAGAGATTCAGAAGTTGTGACCATGAACTGTTTGATGAATGGTGTGAAGCAGAAAGAGGTGGTGGAAATAATGGAGCAAGGAGAAGAAGTACTGGACGCAGCGAGGCATGGAGACGTGAAGAAACTGGAGTCACTGTTGAAGAGAGGAGCGAATGTAGAGTACCGTGATCAGTATGGTTTGACAGCACTTCATGCGGCAGCCATGAAAGGGCACAGAGAGATGGTATGGATGCTGACAGAAGCAGGACTGGACTTGGAATGTGAGGACGAGGAAGGTCACGCGCCGCTGCATATGGCGGTGGGGAGCGGTGACCAAGAGACCATACGAGTGTTACTGAACAAGGGAGTGAATGTAAATGCTACTAACAAGAAGGGCGCCACCCCTTTGTACATGGCTAGAATTTTGGGATACGATGCCATTGCTGACTTCCTTGTCACCAGAGGAGCAATGTCCTGTTTTCCTGTGATTTTATCCTAACTTCTCCCATTGTACATCACATAACTCCAAATTCTAATGGTTCTCCCTACGGCAATTTCCTTTTTTTTTTTGGGGGGGGGGGGGGGTGGGGAGGGTCTATAGTTTAATGCCACTGTTCCATGCCCCAATCATATAATACAAGTGCTTGTTTGGATATTTCATTTTTTACATTTTAAAAAAACTTTTGTGGCTTTTAGAAAGTGAAAATTGTTTGCTAACATTTTATTTCTAAATATACATTCTAAAAATTTATTCATATTAACATCAAAAGTCTTTCTCTAAAAAGTCAGGGAGAGTTGTTTTTGGCATTTTAAATTTGAGGGTTAAAATTTTTAACCACTTTTCCATGTTATCCCTTGTTACTATTTTTTTGAAAATGCAAATAAAAATATTATCTATTTTTAATAAATCAACATTAATATAAAAAAATCACATATGATCGAATTTGTCTTTTTTTTAATAATTACACATTTAAACACATTTTCTATCATATATTATCTAAATAATTTTTAATTTATCAAATTAACTTTTAAAAAAATATACTTAAATATAAATTTTATTATAATAATTAATTTTTGTCAAACTGAAAATAAACGCACCTTAATTCTATCATTTTCTCTAGTCATGTAAAACAAGCAGTGGGACTTGCAGTCAATCAGTACTCGTACAGGTCCAGCCAGACCATCTCATGGGTAAACCCTGGTGATTCGTCGAATTGAGTTTTTCTTTGATCACGCAAGCAGTCTAGTCTTCAGATTCGACCCTGAAGCGTGATGGATGTTAATATGACCGACTTCGAAATAACTAATTTAAGAAATTTCCTAGCTAGTAGCTCCCAGACCTACCTCAATTATCTATGGCTTGAAAATTAAGCATCCACTTGATCCAAGTTGAGCACGTATTAAGAGTTCGCGTGTGTTAGTACATCACCAATTCTGGCTTGCTCTATAGCTTGATTTGATCAGAACTCATTATCAATTTTCTCGTCTTTCCAATTAAACAATCTCAATTTTGATCTAATATATGCCAAGTTCACTCGTGTCATCCTCCTCTTGTAAATATCCGATAAGTAACTTATAATCTGCCTTGTTCTTTTATTCACCAAACTTTACTTTGCATTCAATCAGCTAGCTAGCTAGTTCACTAAAATTTTCGTAAGGAAATATAACTCATAATTAAAGAAAACTTCTGTAATTAAATGAGAACACTAAACTAATTAAGCCTAATTTCTTGCTTTTGTACAAAAAAAATGATGCTAGTCCATGGTCCTTAAAGAGTTAATCGCCTTCTAAAAACACTTCCACTGCATAACCAACAAAGGATCCTCGTTCCTCAGTCTTCACCTTCCTGCTTCCATGTACCAATGTTGTGCGTCTTCCTCATGAACACCGTCCTCAGCGTATCCTTCTTCCTACTCCTCTCCTCCTTCGCAGAACCAGTCTCACCCTTCTCCCACCAAGACCGCTACACGAAATCCTCCGACCTCTCTTTCCACCGCCACCACCGTTCCCGAGAATACTTGGAGGTCACCTATCCCCTGCCTTCCGATCAAGTCACCCCATCATGCTCTCACCTTATCCTACGCAACTCCTTCGCCAATACCGTCGACTCTCCTCCCTTCTCCACCCCCTACATCCCTCCCTCTCATTGCCCTTCCCCTTGGTCCCGCGTTCTCCTCCATTTCCACGCCGATTGTAAAGGAGAGCAGTACGACCGCATCGCCGGCCTGTGGGTCGGCGGCGTCGAGCTCCTTCGCACCAGCACCGCCGAGCCCACCAAGGATGGAGTCTTCTGGAATGTTTGGAAGGATGTCACCAGGTACTCCTCTCTCCTTACAAGGTCTGACTTGGATCTCACGATGATGCTGGAAAACGTCGTTAATCATGAGTTCACTGGGATTTACCACGTTACCGTCACTCTCTTACTCTTCAAAGGCCACGCTGTTGTCGGGAATCCCATTAGGCTTTCTTGTGAGAGGAGAATGAGGATTCTTAGGGATGAATCTGATGGAGGAATATCGGAAGTAACGGTGGAACGGGATGATCTGGGTGATACTGATGTCCGTGGGGGTTCCTTGGATTTGGATGAATCCCCGGCTGATTTGATTATTCCGATATCTGATGACGGCGACCGTGGGTTTTGGTTTAGAGTTGAGCGCGAATTGGATGTGCATTCCCGGAGAATTCGAATTCCAACAAATACTCACCGTGCAGTTCTTGAATTGTACGTGTCATTTCATGGGAACGATGAGTTTTGGTACTCAAACCCACCCAATTCATACATAAAAACGAATGGCTTAAGCACAAGCCGAGGTAATGGGGCATATAGGGAAGTGTATGTTACAATCGATGGCGAAATTGTTGGGACAGAGATTCCATTTCCGGTCATTTTCACAGGAGGAATCAATCCCCTCTTCTGGGAGCCTGTTGTTGCAATTGGGGCTTTCAATCTTCCTTCTTATGATATAGAATTAACACCGTATCTAGGTAAGATTTTGGACGGGAAAGAACACAAATTTGGAATAGGTGTGACTCGGGGCATCTCGTACTGGCTTGTCAATGCAAATTTGCACCTTTGGTTGGATCATCGTTCCAAAGTAGTTCACGCAGATGGAGTCATTAACAAGCGTCCTGAAGTGTCAATAGAGCGCCAACAAGAATTTACAGGACTTGATGGGTCGTTTGAGATAGAAGCAGAGAGGGAAACAAAGGTAGCAGGGTGGGTTAGATCAAGTGCAGGCAACTTGACTACCATTATCTCGCAGGGATTCAAGTTGAAGAACTACATAAGGTTTCAAAAGAATGGAACTTACAAGTTTGTGAAACAAAAACTCAAAGCCAAGAAGAAGATGAGGTTAATAAATGGTAGTGGTCAACTGGTTGCATTGTTGAAGGTTAAGAGAAAGTATCCCCTGCGTGTGATAACTTGGACTAAGCCATGTTTGCAAAAGGACAGATACCTGCTCGTGACCAATGTTTCTCATGCTTTGAAGGAGGAGCATTCAGGTGCGTGCTTTTCGAATAAGATTAGTAACAAACAGGATTCTGCGGGATGGATGGAAGTGAAAGGTCACTCTGTGCTATCAGGGCAAGCTATCACCGGGCAAAATTATAGTTACATTGACAGGTTCAACTGCTTCGCTCGAAATGTTGCGGCAGCTAATGGCAGGATAATTGAAGACAATTCCACTTTTCAATGCGAGGAATGAGAAATGTTTCTGACTTGTCTTTTCATGTCTCTACGTTTTATTGTTAGCTAGTGTCTAGTGATAACATCAGTGTCAAGTCTGAAGCCCATCGAATTTGCGTTGCTTTTCGTGTATAATTGCAATTTAGTTTGGTGAAGCTGTATAATATCTGTTTTTTTTTTTTTGAACAAAAACGCTGTATAATATCATTTGAATCCCATTATTCATGAATATAGGACCCTGGAGTGGTAGTGAATCCCTATTTTTGCACAAAGCCTGAAACAGTCTCTTGTCCTTACAATCATCGCAACTTTTTACGTATACTTTATATTTAATCATAGGCCCCGGCATACACATCTCGGAATAAAATTAGCAACAACTGTGCCAGGTCAACCGATAGTAAACATTGCCATCTCCAGATACTAAACGTACCCATGAATAGAGTAACAGCTTTGCCTTCACTCGACTCTAATTTCATTCTCATGGCGAATATGTCTCTCATTCCGCTCGGCGATTTTTCAGGGTATAAAATTCTATGCCTTCAATACCAAGTATCTTGGTACTGTTAAAAAAGAGCATCAAGCCGAAGAAAATAGACCTTGTTCATGAGATAATAATATCCATACATTCAAATAGCGTTAAGGACGACTTTCTTAAAGATTCAATGTTCAATGATGGGAGGTGTGTGCAGGAAAGGGTAATTACGCGATGTCCTTATCTTTATTATCCCTACAGGACTTAGTCCTTGAAATGATTTCAAGTCTTTTTCCACAATAAAATTTCTAAATTAATCCTTTTTAAGAATTTTTCTCGAAATTTAAACCACACAGGCACAGTTGATGTGAAAATTCAAAATTTATTGATAGATAACTAATACTTACTCTTGTAATGGAAACCAAAACCCAAATTATTTATTTTAAGTAAAGCTGTGAATTAAGGTTAAGTTTATCATTAAAGCTGACCTTCTATTTTATATTAAGAAATAACCTTTTTAGATCCTTTTATCATTATTTTTAATCTCAATCTTAAAAATATAATAGACTAAAGATACTAATTAAAAGAAATGAAAATTTAGACTCACTCTTCTTTCCTGCATTTATTCATCAATATTTTAAATTTTATTGACATTAATCTTGATATTGTAACTTAATATTAAACTTGAATGTTATACATTTATTGTGATACACATTGATTTAAATTTATTTTCTTAAACTTAATTTTGTGTAATGTTTTTTGGAATTATCAATGTTCTATAATGTTTTTAATAAAAACTTAATTTTATGTGTAATGTTTATTAGGATTATCAATGTTCTATAATGTCTTTAATAAAAATAAGGCCGAAGCTGCAAAGCCAGCCATTCAGTCCTAAAGGCTAAAGCCAGGCCACACAAAATAGAACATTGAGATATAATTAAGTTTGTCAGACCAAACTGACCCTAATTGACACTCTTATTGTTAAGTATAAGAAACTGCAAGACTGAATACCAAAATATAAGAAAAGGGGATCTGGTCATAAATTGCGTAAAAAACGGGGATAAAATTGAATTTATCGGCAAATTGCTGAGTGCTAAATATCCTTTTCCAGACGCCCCACAATCGCTCTGCAAGTATCAGAACATCTCTACATACAATAATCTAAAGTTTGTATTGTACAACCGCATTAAAAATCTTTTCTGAAGGGAAAAAAAAAACAAAATTTAGTAAAAACCGTCATCCTCTATGCCTTTTGACCCTCAAAATTTTGTCACTCTGTTATCCCAGCACCCTGGTTCTCCACATCAAGTTCTCCCATTCCAGTATCTTCTTCCTCTTCACCTTCGTCATCACTGACCTCCTCGTTCTCTTGGCGTAGCTTAGCCATGTGTTCAGCAAGCAATTTATCATCTCGTTCACTCACCTGAATCACAATGACAAATGTCAATCTCAAATAAGATGATTCTAAAATGCATCCATCATCAAAAGAAAAGAGGATCCAAATACTGCAAGGTTTTGTGCTTGTAAAAAAATTATTCAAACAAATTTAAAGGACGTCAACACTCACTGCTCTGGGCTCCTCCTTCACAACAAGTTTCCCCTTGTGTTGCTCTATGGCTTCAGTGCAGGCCACAATAGCATCGTTAAGAACCAATATTCCTTGCTCCTGTTCAGAACATTGCAGGATGTATATTGTAGTTTCAGTATTGAAGTCACCACTTACAAATTAGCCGTTCTGACAAATTCACAACTGCCCTCAGGATACTAGATAAATAATGAACTATTTTCCAAGAATCTGATGCTCAAATAGTAGATAAAACATGTAACAGCTTTTGCCAAGAAAATCCATCAAAACAGGCACTACACGTAAGATCAACAACAGCTAGTCCAGTTGTTCAGCTGCAAGGTCAATTATCATAGCAAATTTTTGTGAAGACTACACGCCAACCTTGTCGAGAGTCTGAGTGGTAAGAACATAAAGTGGGGGAGCAACAAGTTTAATCTTCACTGGGCAATCATTATTTCCAGCAGCTTCAGCTTTCCGCATTGCTTCCTGCATAGTCATGCAATCATACAGCAATTACTCACAATACTTTTGAAGATAGGCGAAGAGTACTGAACACAACAACTTCAAGGACAGCCCAAAGAATATTGGAGAAAAGAAACAATTCAGACCTTAATATGGAGAACTCCATCAAACTGAAAGCACTTCATTTCAATATCTGCCCTAATTTTCAAAGGCTGGGGTGTCATTCGTCTTCTGATGTTCTTTACTAGAGCTTCCTTCACTTCTTCTGATACAGCTGGCACCACCTTGGTCACCTAAAGGAGAAAAATTAAGAAAGCCTTCAGTAATCATATAGAACTTGCGTGGAAATATAGTCTGTACTGACAATATTTACCTCCTGCCCATCAGGGCCAACCTCCTTGACCTCACGGGTGAGGGAATTCAAAACTGAATCAGGATCAGTAACAATTATTTTAAATGCCTGCACAAAATTAGGATCATATAGCAATTGCATATTTCAAAGAAAGTATATATATATATATATATATATAAATAATTTGCTTACCTCAAAAGCATGACCATACTTTCGATATAGAGGCCACCCAATGTGAATATACAGCTCCTGCACAGAGAAGCTTGAATGTAGTTCAACAAATCATGAAAAGTGAAGCAGCATCAACATTAAAAGCAAATAATTAGAACAACCTAAGCAATATTTGGGGGAGGGAACAAAATCATCAGACAGAGTAGCAGTAGGCAAAAAGCCATAAAGAACTAAAGTTAACTGGCAAAGAAGATATTTTAGAGAACAAGCACGTTGAGATAAAAAGCACTCTATATGAAAAGAAGGGGGGAGTACTATATATAATGAAATCAAAATGATCAGTGTCACTGCAATGCTGCTTCCTAGTTTGGTTACATCCACTGAAAAATGGAGAGCCTACAACAGCAAAACAAACATAAAGCACTTAAAAATATGAATAGGATCCAATACCATAGCAGTTGATCCAAACCAGCAAATCATTTTTTTGTGAAACTTAACCCCCACCAAAAAAAAAATGGAAAGGCTGCTTTCTTTAGATCATATACAAATACCCAATAAAGAACACCAGCAACATAGATTAGAATGAACTGAATTTCTACTTTCTTAGCATACATTTCCTACTCCCACTCGCACCCCCCTCCCCGGAAGATCAAGGTGCATGATCTCAACCACCTGTAATCTTTATCCAGGTTTAGAATCTCAGTAGTATCAAGGGCATTATGGAATGTCAGCTACTTTGATCATGCACCAAAGAAAGTATCAATGTCAGCTACTTTGAAGAAATAAGCAACATAAGAAGTATCTGATTGTTAAACAGAAAGTATTTCAAAAACCAAATTGGAAGGAGAATAGATTGTAGGAGAAAAATTGGCACATTAATTTTTAAGCACATGATTCCTTATTATGGACTGAAGAAAACATATGAAGTTAGCATGACAAACTGATCAAAAAATATAAAATAAAAGTAACACATACATTGAAAACTATTTAAAACAAATCCTGGTCAGTGAGATTAATCCCATGGGTGAAAATCTGTGACTAATTAAAACAAGGTTATACAAGACCACAGTGACAATAAATAGAGCTGGGAGAAATAGCTGGCAAATTGTGAGGCTAATTTCCAAATTTTAAACCATAAACCTAATCATGCCATACAGCCTAGATACAAAATGAAAAGCTTGCAATGATTCCAACTATTGCGGGTTCATTCACCTTCTTATAGGGAACCAAAGCTATGACAATAACAAACATACACAAGACTATAAACAACTAAGAATTCAAGCAAACAACTCAACAAGAAGTGCAAGGCTGGTGTGGACTGAGTATTTCATTGAGAAAACGGCTGGAAAATAGTGACAAATTAGTGGAGGTAAGATTGGTGGCAAAGCTCTGAGGAAAAGTCTTAGGTTAAATTTTACATTACATAACATGACAAGTTGGTATTCGGAGTTGGCATTTTAAAAATTAAAAAAATGAAAGTCTCAGGTGGATTCCCTGTCTTTTGGTCCCTAAGTCAGGCTGTTCATGACTCAATACAACGTGTTAGAAACCCAGAGCAGAGGAATCACAAAATCATACTGAAATCACAAAATCGCAAAATCACAATTTGAATAACAGAATTTTCAGAAATTAAGGCAAGTCTATTTTTCTAATGGGTCAGCGGTCAAGTCAACATACAAGGCAATAGTGCTTTCAAGAGAAGGTGGAAATAACGAATGTCCTCAGCTATGTAATTCGGACTACAATGTTAACATGTACTTCCGTTTATAGGGAAACTTCCATCGTTGTTTATTCATCAAGGGTCATCCAGTGAAAGCTAACCAATGAATCCCATAACGCATATTTCCGTTCAATTCTTTTACTTAGCGGGGCAAAAGAGTGCAGAACAGCCATACGTCCACGGAATACTAATATCAAAGTCAATAACTTCCAAGAAAAGAAACAATTAACAGTAGCAAGCAATCAAGCTCATCAATCAAGAAAAATCCGTATAAGTGAAAGAAACGGAAGAAGTAGCGAAATACCTCTAAATCGATATTTTCAGTCTCAGCAACGTGACGCATGATGGAGTGAACAAGCTTGCTCTTGTTGTACCTCTCCTCGCAAGCCTGGATATCCTCCTCAGATACCCTTCTCTTGCTCAAATCGATGTAGCCCTTTTCCTTGTCGACCCTTAAAACCATGACGGGTTCGGTGCGGCCAACCTTGATGAGACTGCTGACACTACGAATCCGGCGGCGAGAGAGCTCGGAGAACAAGATCATGCCCTCGATGTTGTTGTACTCGAGGAGGGAGACGTAAGCGCCCATGTCGGCGATGTTCTTGACCTGTATCATAACGGCCATGTCCACCTCCGGATACTTGGCCTCGTACATGCGACATTCGAGGTTGGGAGCCATGGTTTGGGTTCCTGAGGCTTTGTCGGGATTGGGGAGTGAGCAGCAGGCGGTTTGGTGGAGGTGATACTGATGAGAGATCTCTTTCTCTCTCTCTGACCAACGCAATCTAGGCAAGGGTTTTAACCTGGAAGACGAAGCGAACAGGCTAGATACAAGAGTTACACCGCTACGTCGTCGTTTTGCCGCTGCGGGAAGGAAAAATTAAGGGCTGTCATGGATTAAAAAGTAAAGCAACAAAACGCCCACCGTGGGACTCGAACCCACGACCACAAGGTTAAGAGCCTTGCGCTCTACCGACTGAGCTAGACGGGCACGTTATGACTTGCCCACTTCATTATATATGAATATTTTGATTCCCAGGCAACAGCTCACTGTCATTTTGCAAACTAAAGATCTTTTACCCTCGTGTATACTTAAGCAACGCCTGATAAGTTAAAAGTATATTTAAAAAATGGGATAATGCATTATTTTATAAATATGATTGCCTTGTATTATAATGCAATGTTGATGAATTGACTAATCGGACTAATATTTGTAATTTTGATTATAATATGCGTTGATGGGAAAGTAGAATTGTCCAATGATCCCGTCTCAATAGTTATGCTTCTTGTTTTTCATGTTGTTAGTTTGCAAGCTCCGGTAAAAGCCCGATGTGGTATGAGTTAAAAAAAAAATTAAACATGGAAATGATATCACTATTTGCAGCACTTGTTACAGAGAGTGAAGTTTTATAAGCACAAGATATATCTTATTGTGTTTAAATTATCTTTTGGAATTCTTCGATCCTACCAACTTTAAAGCCTTAAGTTAAGTGCACCAATAATACTAATAAGAAATATAAACAAAATCATAGAGTTTGTGCAGCATTTCACATATAACCATTGCCCAAGCCAATTAGAAACATGCGTTGGAATGGAAGTAAAAGTACGGTGGTCTTGGGAACCAATATAATTTGAAGGCTTGTATCCCCGGAATAACCATAACACCACTTGATTATAAGCTGTCATTCATAATGCACGGTAGACAATTTTTTTTTTTCATGGCAAAAAATTTATGAGTTAAATCTTGATAGCGTCAAGGTTAATGTATATTTTCAAACTCAAAAAGTATTTATAAAAAATTTTATAAATCACTTACCAGTAAGATATTCACATTGGAGGATATATTTGATCTCATGACTTTGTAGGTTATGAGTTAGATCATTATTAACTAAACCAATCTTTATTAATAAACAACTTTTAATTAACTATTCTTTGCTATAACTAACTTTGTGTTTGGTATACTAAAATTTGAAGCATGAAATTGAAAATGAATATGAAATTCTGAAAAATGTTTGTTTGGTATCATGAAATTTGAAAATTTTCTATTTCCATATCCACCAAAATCTGTGGAATTGGCTTCCACGATACACCCCAAGGATTTCAAATTCTTTGCTCCATACTCCAATTTTACCCTCTTCAGTCTCAAGCTTCTTGCCTTCTTAACTCCGGCAACCTTCTCCCCTCCTTCACTGGTGACCTTCTCCCCATCCACCGGTGACCTTCTTCACCCTCTCCAATCCCCCCTTATTCGCCAGTGACCTTCTCCCCCCTTCGATCCTCCCCCCTTCTTGCCAGTGACCTTCTTCATCTTCGATCCTCCCCCCTCCCCACCAGTGACCTCCTTTATCTTCGATCCTCCCCCCTCCCCACCAGTGACCTCCTTCATCTTTGATCCTCCCTCTTCGTCTCCATTCATCGAAGGATAACTTACCTCAATGCCCACGCATGATTGCCTTTAGGTAACCCGCCATGGATGTTGAACATAAGAGCTTCAAAGTCGTACATCATTTTCTGACAGACGATCACCCCTACGTTCACATTTATCTCTGTCCACACTCTCTCAAATTTGTTTTGCTTCATTTTCATATATGGGTTTTAGATCTATTTCATTTTCATATCTATTTTACAGTCAGACTTTTTTGCGATGGTAGTGGATTGCAGGAGCTTGACCATCACCTTCGCCGGTGGAAGAATGTTGGCAACTTGATCAGGATTTGCTCAGGCAGCCAGGTTCCTTGATCGAGTTTCTTGTCTTCTACATTAGATAATGGGTTCCTTGTTCATGATAGGTTAGGCGTCGTACATGTTAGTTTTTTAAGAAGGGTATTTTTGTCTTTTGAACAAAAATGATGCTATAATTCCATGGATATACCAAACATATTTTTAAACTCTATATCCGTCTCCATTTTCATATCCATTTCCATTTCTATATCCATTTTCATTTTTATTAAAATTAATTTCATCATACCAAATGAGGCATAAAAGAAATGAGTTAACTGTGAAGTTATATATACACATCTATCAACGCTTACATTCATCCTCACGGTCAACTTTGCATTGTTTATATTACGTGCAAGATAGACCTGGATTAACGACGTTAATCCTTGATGCGGGGAAAAAAAATACCTTCACATGGTGTCTAAACTCTCTAACACAATATACGCAAAAGCTTTTACTAATTCCATTTTGGTTCTTGCAATGGAAAATGGGATTATATGGGAAAAAAAGGAGTAAATTTTTATGTGAGGAATATCTCTATTCTCTCATGTACTTGAATAAGAAAATCATGAGAATAATATAATCATGACTGTTTATTGATAATAAGACTATAATAAAAATAACGTATTTTAAATTTAGCACGATCAATCAAATATGACTCAATTCTTGTAAAGTGGGTTTTTCACTATAAAATAGCTTCTTTTTTCTTTTAACACCAAATAAGAGTCTTAGATGCGTTTTATCATCGACGTCGCAAACGTGATAATCATAGCTTTGAGAAGCCTAGCCGTGAGACGAGGTAGAAGCCCAGATGCACAAGGTTTTGGTGGGCTCATACCCGGGTCCAATGGCCCATTAAGAGGCTCAAAGGGCCAGTCATTCCCAGTTTATGACACTAACAAGATGGGCCCATGAATTCAACATGAAATTGCAACTTCCTAATATTTTTGCACTGCCTCCTGTCCTCCATCTCCATGCAAGAACTAGTCGAGAGTTTATTTTGTTCTTAAACGTGAGATTTTAGTTGGCAAAAAATAAAATAAACGTAAGATTTTAATTTTTTTTGTCTCTTATATTTGTTTCTTTCAAATTACTTTTGTAGTTAAATTTTTATATGATGTACAAGCTATATTGATAGTACTTAAACGTAAACTATCAAAACGACATGCATTTTATAAAATCTAGTAGACATTTATTATAAATAACTAATAACTAATAACTAACTCGTACACCTATAATTAGAGGGAGTAATAGTTTGCATTGATTGCCACGTTGTCTCTTTTTTAAGCCACATTTATCGATAATTGTTGACCAGAAACATAGCTATTAGCTTTTCAGAACTCTTTAATGAGCTTATTCTTTGACTTGACTGTAGTTGCTTCCGCAGATTCTTCGAACATCTCAATGAGTGTCCTGAGGTGCTTAGAACAGCGATTGGCTTTAAAATGATTCTAGGAGCCTCTTTTCATGCCCCTCCAAACCTGTTTATAGAATAGGAAGAAAAAGTTTTTAACCTATTTATAGTTTATATTATTATTTTTTTTATACAGATTTTTTAATCCAGGTTAGATATTGATGGGAGAATGTAAATTATTAAAGTATATATATTTAATAGAAATAAATTTAACAAATTCTAAATTTTTAGATTGAATTATAATTTTGATAAAACATGCATGTTAAAAGTAATTTATAAAAAGGATCAAGGGAGTAATATTTAGCATATGATATTCAATTTTTTTTAAAAATCTAGAAATATTTGAAAATATATTTTTTATACAATTCAATTTTTTTTTCTCTTCTTTGTTCTCTCCTTTTCTATTTATTTTTCTTTCTTTCTTTTTTCCTACTTAAAAGGTACTACAACCTGTGCTTCTATCCTTTTTTTTTTTTTTTGATATTTCTCCAAGATATCTACTAGCATAAGTGGTTCTCCGATTAATCTGAATTGAGGTGGCTTAGAGCACATGGACATGAAAATCCCTGGGTAGAGATTTTCTTAAAAGAAAAAGAAAAATCCTCAAGTATCCGTGTTTCACAAAGTCACAAAGATGCCAGATGCATTAATTAGTGGTGAGATTACCGAAAGAGAAACCTGGTTTAGAAAGGCATTCAGCATGTCATTGGTACGTAGAAGACAAAAAGCATCTAACTCGAGAATGAATCTCTATCACCACGATGCTCGATCATTTAATGCCCTCGTTGGAGATCTCATGTCTTTCCCTCTAACGTGGTGAAATGTCTGTTCCTTCACCCTTATATTTTATCCTCTTCAAAGTTGCTGATTTCGCAGAGAAACCAGACGACAAGCTTCCACTCTGCTAGTCTCATCTTCAATGCCTCTCGCCTTCCGAGGGATTCAACTCAGCTTCTAAGCATATGCATGCATGACAAACATCACATCTAACGGACATATATTCATGATCCTTTTATGTAAATAAATAAGCATGCTCGTGTTTGCTTCAAGGCCATACTATAAATTTTAAAAATTTCTCGTCTTCTCCCTTCCTCTCCCCTACTTTGGTTTGGTGGAGGGGTTAAAATTTTCACTCCCCTTCCCTCCAAAGCCTCCCCCCTAATTGAGAGAAAGCCCCCCTCTCCTTCCCTCCTTTCGAACCAAACAAACCTTAAACAAAAAAAAAAATGTCCTTTACTTGTTTCGATCTTATTTATGAGATTGAGAAGAATTTTTCTTTTAGTCATATTTATAAAGTATGTTATGGATTTTTTTTATTGTAAGTTTTTTCTTTTATCCCATCAAATAATATGAGTGAAAGAAAGCATGTTATTAAAATATGTTTGATATACTCTTTAATTTTTAGTCTAAAATATAAGCATTTTCTCCCAACTAATGTAAGTTTAGAATATAAGCAATTTAATATAAAATTTTTTTTCCATTTACTCTGTATAATTATTGACTTTAATTTTTGTGTTTGCAAATTTATGATATTCTTTTCACTCATAATAAATTGGGAATAAGGGTAACAAAAGAAAAAATAATATATATTTTTATGAAAATAAAGATTTTATTGGTATGCAAATTTTGTTAAAAATGCTTATATTTTTGATTGAATGGAGTATTTAATAAAGGCAAAGTTAAAAATTTAATCATTTTTTAAATAGAGTCAATGAATTTTAAGGTTTTCATTGATTTCAATAAAACAAGCCAGAAATGACTTATAAATAAAATTAAAAGAGTAATTTTATGGTTGGTGTATTTGTGTGTGAGAGAGATAATGTATTAAGAAAAATATTATACTACTCTATCTTATCTTATTTATAAGTCTATTTCAAAATATTTTAATTTCTAGAATAAAAAAATTTAAAATTACTCATCATTAACTTTGTCTAAAAATTTATTAAGTTTTTAACTTTATCCTTATTAAATACTCACCCTGGTCCTTATTATTAGAGTCAGGAATAAGGGTCGAGCCTGGAGGGTCGGGCTTAGAGGTCCTGTTTAAATAAGGGTTTGGGCTTTAAAAATAATTTTTTTAAAGTAATTGGGCTTAAAGGCTTGGCCCTGATAAGCCCTGTAAAAAAGGGCTCGGGCTCGAGTAGTCCTTCAAGTCCTGTTATATTATTATTATTATTATTATTATTATTATTATTATTATTATTATTATTTTTTCTTTGGTGAAACACGTGTTTGAAACCAATGACCTGCTCACTTGATCCTACACACATTATATTATTATTAATTTTAATTTTTTTTTTAAAATTAATTTAATATAATTTAATAAATATCAGTGTATAGTATAAAATTTTTGATATTTTTTATTTTTCTATAATTATCATGTTTGTATATTTATAAAAAATGAATTATTTTTAACTAAGATTTAAATTTTATTATTAAACTTCTAAATATGTGTTGTTTAATTTTTAAAAAATTATGAAATTTTATTTTTTTAATTTCAAAAAATTTTTAATTAATTTATAATGTTTAATTTTATTTTATTTTTTATTTTTTTAAAAAGGGCTTATGGGCCCAACCCTGAGCCTTTCACATAAGGGCTGGGCTTGAAAAACAGGATTCAAAATAGAAAATCGAGTTTTAGGGCTCAGGCCTTTAAGGGCCGAGCCTATAAGGGCTAGACCCTTAAGGGCCGGGCCCGCCTATATTCCCTAGGGGTGAGCATGGCGTTCGGTTCGGTTTCGGTCTCAAAATATGCAGAACCGATCGATCGAATAACACTGAAAATGAAAACCGAATCGAACCGAACAAGCAATCGAACCGAACAAGGACCGAACCGAAATTTGATAATTCGGTTCGGTCGGTTAATCGGTTTTCGGTTTGGGCCTAATTTTTTAAATATTAAAACAACAAACACTATAAAAGGCCTTTTTTCTTTTCGTTTTTTTCAATATGAGCCCATTCTAATTATACTCATATGACATTAAGCCAAATATTCCAAAATATTATAAAGACATGAATAATCAAATAAACAACCATAAATAAACCCGATGATTAAATAATAGCCTCATAATTCAGTCACAATACCTACTGATGAGAGTGACTGATTGAAATGGGGTTTCAAGTGATGTTATTATTTTTTATTCTTTATTAAAATAAAAAATAAAAATAAAATAAAATAATTTATAAATTAAATATAATTTATAAATTAATAAATTATATATAATTCGGTCGGTTCGGTCTATTCGATTTTAAATTTTACTAACCGAATCGAACCGATCAACCGAAATATTTAAATAAAAAAACCGAATCGAACCGAAAAATCAAATAGACCGAATAAATAGACAAAATTCGATTCGATTCGGTTCGATTTTCGGTTTCGGTTCGGTTTTGCTCACCCCTAATAATTCCCAACTTTACTTATTATAAGGTACATGTTCTAACTACCCTACCAAAATCAATTAAGAAGAGACAATTAAGTTATTAATTTTATATAAAAATAAAATATATTCTCCATTTTATCCCTATTTACATTACATTATTTTTTATAATTAATGAATTTAAATATGGATAATATTAAAAAAATATAATTATTACCTCATTAAATGAACCCTTATATTAAGAACAAAAAATTTCTTTTAAAATGTGCTTTGTAATAAAGACATGAGGAAATATGTTATATACTTTAATAATGCACATTTTCTCACCAATATTTAATGTGGTAAAATAAAAAATTTATTATAAAAATTTAATTATATCACTTTTAAATAAAATTAAAAAAAAATTTTGCTCCACTTTATAAATAAGACCTGCTCAACAGACAGTGTTAAGAAATATTGAGAAAGGGAAATGCATGCATCGGCGAGCGTCATGACTCATGGCCATGAAAAGAGAGTAGCTGTTTTCATTAGAAGGACAAGAAAGGAAGCATCGCATCATGTGAGGGCAATTAATGCAGAAGGCCAGAGAAGCTTTAGGGTTTTCTGCGCCCATCCAACAACTCATTCAAATTTCAATGTTAATCTTCATCTTTAAGCCACCTTTATTTATAATAATCCCTACAACTTAATCGCCTGTCAGGAATCTCATTAATATCTTTGTTGCCCTGCCTCTGTTTTCTTTGTTTTCATCATTTGTTATTGCTCTCATCCATCTCATCAGCGATTTCTACACTTCTGCTATGCAGCTTATCGGGGCCATTTAATATATATTTATATTCATCATTTCTCTTACAATTCGCAGCTTGAGCTAGCTACTTCTGATTAACTATTTTCATTTTAATGACTTTGACATGTATGTAATCTCTGATCTGCTCCAAATATAAAGCACAGTTTAGTTTTGATATGTGATTATTGTGATAATGAAGATGTGCTCTCCAGCTTAGTTAGCTAACCCTTCAAACACCTGTAATTAATTAACAATTGTATCTAATACAACAATCAAATCTGAATCTGGGTTGATTAATGATAGAAGGAAGCTCATGTGACTACTCTCCATTCAACTTGTGAGAAAAAAAATAATTATTGCTTGATAAATATAAAGTGCTTGGTTGGATTATTAGCAGTTCATTGACATGGAGGATCATATATATATAAACCAGCTTATTCAAAGTTTGCCTCGACTTCTGAAAAATGAGTCAGAGTTGAACTAATCAATGAATCGTGTGGATCAATAAACATTTAATGAACAGAGAGAAAGGGGAGGGAAACAAACATTCACATTGAGCCTAGCCCCTATCTCATATACTAACACAACCTTGGTGCTTGCAACTCGAGTTAATTTTGTCTCGCTTTGAACTGAGAGGACACACCATGGCGAAGAGTTTATAATGAGTGAAAATTATGTTTTCCTTATACTAACTTAGAAATATCACATTTGATAGTTATCATTATCTTTTACACTTTTCAATTAATCTATCATAAGCCAGCTTGACACGGACATATATAATTGATCTTTAAGTGATAAGGACGGTGAAATTTGCAACAGCAAGCACATGGTGTTGAGAATCCAGAGTCTAGACTCTGAGTGAATAGAAGGCTTGTTATGAGTTAATTGCACCTGATAGGGACTTCTCTTCTCCAACCCTAGAATCACTTGAAGCTTGATGTCAGAATCTTCTCAATTTTCAGTGGTTGGCCCTCTTTCATGAGTAAATATATATTGTTATTAATTAGTTACGTGGAGTATTTATATAATTTCTCTAGAATATCGTAAGGCTTTGAACTAATAATTCTGAACCAAACGCCCCAACACGGATTAAATTTGATACCGGATATGTTTTTAGTGTGTATCTTTGAAGAAATCTAATTACCAACCACTGTTGAGAACGTGCCTTCAAGAACCAACCGATTTTCAATTTCTATTCAAACGCTTCACGTGACCGTAGATCCCTCATACACAGCTATAAACAAAATAGACCAGTACATATTATCCAAATTCAATGTATTCTAATTGACTAGCACAGAATCACGGCTGACTTAACAAAAAAATGTAAAACGCCAACGTTCTCACAAATATGCAATACACCTCACTAACACACAACACAATTGCAATGTATATGAAATTCTTGAATCAAATTCATTACATTACAGCGTATGTACTTCTAGTCTAATTCTACTAGGGTGTGCTTGGATATCAGTTTAGAAATCCAAGCTCAACCAACCTTGTAAATTCACTTTTTTTTTTATATGAGAGAATTACTCAACCTCGAAAAAACAAAATGGTAAACACTTCTCAATTAAGTTATTATATTCATAAGAGTTAGAATTTAAACTTTCAATCACATACTTGAATGACTAAAACCCCTAACAATCATGTTAGCTTGAGTTGGCTGTAAATCCAATTTTTATTACACACTTGTTGGGTTGAATAGGTTTTGCTTCTCAAACTTCATTTTCTCAACGAAACCCAAGTAGAAGGTCGCTCTTCCTAAATTGGATTTACTGGTTGTTTCCCAACATCATTTTCTGTGCAACTAATTCTATCAAAACATGCACTTTGAAACATTTTAGTCATTAGATCTGAACGGTCTCTTAATTAACATCTTACCCGGTGTTATTTATTATATTAAGTGAAACGATAGTATTATTTTTAAAGTTATATTACGCATAAATGATAAATTAATAATGTTTTCTTTTTTTAAAAAATCATAAATGGCACAAGAAGGCTGCCACCAGAGGTTGCAGTCCCCTTTATAAATAGAGAAGCTCTCAATTTCATTTTGTCACAACTCTGTTTTTGCCCTTTTCTGAGGTTCCTTGCTCTGTTTGCGAAACCAAACAAACCAGTTCCTAATGGGAGGCAATTCACCTTGTGCTTCATGCAAGTTGCTACGGCGTCGTTGCGCCAAAGATTGCATCTTCGCTCCCTATTTCCCTTCCGATGACCCTCACAAGTTCGCCATCGTTCACAAGGTCTTCGGCGCCAGCAACGTCGGCAAAATGTTGCAGGTTACCTCCTACCTTCCCTCCTCTTCTTCCTCTTTTTTGTAATAACAGAGAACACAGAGAACACCACCAAACTGATTCTTCTTCACGTTCCACAGGAGCTTCCAGTTCATCAGAGAGCCGATGCAGTGAGCAGTTTAGTGTATGAAGCGAATGCAAGAGTTCGAGACCCAGTGTATGGGTGTGTCGGAGCTATATCGTATCTGCAGAATCAAGTTTCAGAGCTTCAAATGCAGCTCGCAGTGGCTCAGGCAGAGATCCTGTGCATCCAGATGCAGCAGGATCCGGAGCCAGCAGTGATGCAAAACGCAGAAGTTGACCCAAATCAGAGACCTTATTTTCTGCAAAACGACCTGCCTCATCAGTACCTTAACTTTGCGTCTTCCAGCAATGTAATTCAGGACTCTCTCCAGAGGGAGAGTATCTTCGGACACGACATGGTTTCTTAACTTGAATTCCTTATACTTTTGTTTTTGTTCCATGTCATGTTTCTTTTCCTGAGATCTTATATGTGAATGGCTTCTCTGTGCAATTCTTTATCCTCGATTAGGGATAGACGAGGACAAGGGGGATTCATGGGTCAACTCTAGCCTGTGAGATAAGTAAAAGTGAACTAAAATAGCGATGGCGTCTGAATCAGTAAACTAATTAATAAATAAAGCAAGCGCTTGTATTACAATGGGTTATATTATATATTAAGCCAAAGGGAAGGGACAGTGTTCGTTTTACAGACATTCTGATGATCATAAAATGACCTCCATTGTCTAGAAAAGAAGACAGAAAATGGGAGATCATGAGTCCATGGGACTACTTTGCTTTTCAAATGAAACAAATAAAGGTGAGAAACAGTACACATAAATTGACTCAAATTTCTGATAACTAACGCTGAAACCATATTCGGATTTCATCATTCTGTGAGAACGTACGAATATGTATTTCTTTCGATATTCATAGTTTTCAATAAATATGTCCTGTGCTTTTATTTACTTTGTTCCCACCATAATCTGTGCTCTGTTGCTTTTACTTTCACCTACGTCTAAGCTGTCAATTATAATTATAAATATTTTCGTATAGGGGTAAAACGTGAGCAACATGAACCTAACTTCAGCGCTCATCACATTAATGAGGATAATTGAGCTCATCAGCGTGACGAGATTTGCGCCATTCATATTAAAATCTAGATAATTCAGATTTAAAATATTATTTTATTTTATATTTATTAAAATAAAAATTATAAATATTTTTAATAATTTTTTTAAATTTCAATCTGATCTAGATTTTTTTTGAAAAATTCAATATAATATTAAATTTTTTATACTTATTATATATCTAGATATATCCTGCACAATTTAGATTACTCATAATTGTGATGAGCAACAAGGATAAGCCCCAACAACATAAAGGTGCTCGAGAGATTAGCTTCTTCTAATTAGTTTGTGTGGGTTTCTCTACAAAAGAATGCTTATTAATTAATGAATTAGTTAACTGTGGGTAGAAATATTATTTTCTTAATCTCAAATTATAAGATATTTTTAAATAAAATTGTGCATATCAATAAAGTTTATTAAATACACTTTACAATTTTAATTTTTTAAAATAAAAAGATAAACTTTTAAAAATATCTTTCATTTGATACTTTATTTATGAAAAAAAATATTGAAAAGAGAGAAAATATTAGAAAAGATAGTATTAAAAAGTATCATTAATAAAACCTTATTCTTATTAAAATATCTTATAATTTAAAATAAATATAATATATATATTAATTTTATGAACTTCTTTTTTAAGTGATTGCTTTTCTAAATCCATCTCTTCAAACAATATATATATATATATATATATCCTAATCAATGGAATATTTTAAAATGTTAAAGAGAAAACTAAATAAGCTAAATCGCAACAACCGAGCTTCTTTTTTTTTTTTAAAATAAAATAAAGTAAACAGATAGGTTAAAAAATGTGCTACGGATTTCATCACCAGCTTTTGTTTAAGGTCGAAGCAATATCTAGGTCAAACACCCAAGAAACTTATATTTGTTGGTCCATAGTTTTTTTATCTTTTAAAAAATTAAGAGTGTCTTCGTCTTCTTATTTTTTGCTAAGTAAATTAAGAGTATCTTGACAAATGACAAAAAGGTAGGCTCTTCCATCTCTATTGGCTTTATACACAGACATCAATCTCCAACCATTTATTTTAAAAATGAAAGCTTCTAACACCACGCATGCCAAACTAATTCTTTGGTTATTTCTACCTTATTAATTATCTTTGGCTATTATATTATCGATTCCTCTTTCATACTAAATTAACTATACATATAGTGTTTGAAGCCAACAACTCCAATTAATCCAGATCGAGTCAAGATCTTTTTAAGTGAAAGCCTAACTACTAAATATTGTTGTATTTTTTAATTTGAACTCCAAGCTTCTGATTAAATTGATACAACTTACTTGCTAATTGAAGATAGTCATTATATTGATTTCTTGTGCGTGTATCTAGCTGCATAGTCTTCCAATAATCAACTTTTACGAACTAATTAAGCTATTACAAAAAGTATTCTCATATTTTAAAAAGGGAAATTGCGATCATCTTGTTCAAATCGAGTGTACGATTTTGCTCCATATAATGATTAATTTCTTTTTTAATATATTATCAATTTTCTGCGGTCTTTATCAAGCAATTACAAGTTTAGTCACCCAAATTGTATATATAAGCACTAAAACAAAGGCATCTGAATGGCGATATGATAATAAAATAAGGAAAAATTCCACGTGTCCTCTTTAAATTTTGAACGCAATTAAAATGTCCTTCTAAATATTGAAAAAAAAAGTAATATCAACCTCTTGATAGATTAGTCCCATGACAATATAGTGATTATTAATAAAATGTACAAACAATTACTAAAGTGGTTGTTTAGAGTTGAGAAATTAATAGACAGACCGAGTCAATATAAACTCAAGTCATAAGTTCAGTTATTTTAAAAATCAATCATTTTTTAAAATTCAATCCTTATTCAAAAAGTTTAGAGTTGGGCTGTAAGCTCATTTTAAGTTTTTTTTTTTAATTTTTAAATATTAAAAATTTTAATTAAAATATTTCATTGTTTAAATATAAATTATAATGTTTAAAAATTAAAATAAATAATAAAAATTTTAATTTTAAAGTATAAATATATATTCTAAAATAAAAATATTTTATTTTTTAATGAGTAAAACAAAAGTGAGTTTAAAAGGATTGCTTGAGCCCAAACTCACTTTTTAAGATCTATTGGAATTGGGCTTTAAAGTGTCATTTTTTTTTAAAATGTTATTTTTTAAGCTCAAACTTTTCTGAAAAAAATTTAAATGGATGATTCATCAGGTGCCATCCTTATTCCGAATGCTAGCACTGATACAGTGATACTGTTGTTCTTATATTTGAGGGGAAAAAAAAAAATCCTTGCTTTGTTCCTTTAAAAAAACTGATTCACCAAATTTGTCCAAGCTTGTATCTGTTGCTTTTTCCTACAATTTGATTGATTACCAACGTTTCATTTTCCAATTGGGGAAAATGTTTGTCTGCCTTAATTTGTTTTATCATATCCGTGGAATGAAAGTCTAATCTAAATTCACACCAGAAATTGCTAGACGGTTCTCATCAGAAAAAAGATTACAAAAGGACAAATACAGGTCTAAAATCTAGTTCAAGAAACTTCGTTTGACATCAGAAAAAGCATAGCGGGGGGAGGGGGGGGAGAGAGAGAGAGAATATGCTGATTTTAAATAATCCAAAGTATATGGAACATGGCATAGCAAGTTTTCTTTTGTTTTTTTTTTCCCGGCCAAAGGTAATGTCATTAAGTTGAAAAAAACTTCAGACAGTCGTAAACAATTGACGAACACAAGTCGAAGCAAATCAAAACATGAAGAGCCAGCTAAAACACGTAGAACAAAACATAAAGGAAACGAAAATGCAAAATCCATATATGTGTTTCATGATCCGGATGCAGGAAAGGCATGGCAAGTTAGACAGTAAGAAAAGTCAAGACATATCACTGTCCGTCTGTCACGATCAATTTCTAGCTCTCCAATGAGACAAAAGCAAGTGATAGTGCAGCAGTCTGAATCCCTCTGATATTTCAGTGGAGGGTTCCACATATATATTACTTCCAGAAGAAAAGATTTGCTCCTGGTCTTCAGATTTCATTTTTTAAAATATCAGAGTCTTCTTAATCAAGCTAAGATTTTCCAGAGCTTCGCTTCTATTCCAAATAAATGCTGCCGCATTACGTTGAAGCTGGGTAATCGGAGTTTTTTTTTTTTTTTTTATTAAATCACCTTACAACATCGCCAAATGCTCAAATATAACACAAATAAGTGTTCTGATTTTTAATGTGAAATCTGTATAAAATTTAACATATCTACACATGTATGTACGAACAAGAAAAATTGAAACATGTATAAGATCAGTTTTGTCTATTTTTCTTACGAATCTACTCCCCTTTTCACGTAAAATCTATGAGCATTTTTTGATTTATGAGGTCTACCTTTCCCTAATGAATTCCTAGACCCAAATTCACCTTTTTTTTGGGAAAAATTTAAATGTTTAAAATTTTGTAGTTTGGAGATTCTGCCTGGGTCCTTGCATTCACAATTTTGTAGTCTCGTTTAGAATATCTAAGCTACTTAGTGCTTGGGTAGTTGTGTGACGAGAAGAGATGAAATTTGATTTTAAGATTTTAGTTTACGTGTATGAAGTTAAAGTTCTCAACGTACAGATGTCATGAAAACACAAAATGAAAAATATTCACACCCCAGAAAAATCTTGCATGGCATGAATATGGAGAAAATTCTGCCGTTGCGGAATTCAAAAAGAACCATCAGTTTTGAATAACTTTAGTATTACTTGCCGTTGCTTTCTATAAGTCATATATGATCACCCATCACACCCACCTCATAAACATAATAATTAAAGGTTAGTGTATGGAAAACCTTACAATTTTTTCTAAATTTATCCTCATAATTAAATAGTACATTTGAATCTCCCACTCCAACCTCAATTTTTAGTCAAATAATTTTTAAATCTTATAGAATCATTTATCAGAAAAAAATATTAACTATTTTTAAAAGTTAGCAAAACGTCCTGTTTAATTTTGAAACAAAATCCTATTCTAGAATGACTTACAATATATAACAGTGGGAGTCCTGCATGTCTGCAATTAAGAATAATCGTATAATCCTGAGTATAAAATTTTAATTGCTTAAGAAGATAGATAATGATTAAATGACCATGTTAGTGCATGGCTGTAAGCGCAGCCTATTCAAATAATCTTGCTTTGTGGACATGGATTGCCATTGCTCCTAGCAGAATACATTCAGGAGATTATTTTTGGACAAAAATAGAAGTATACTGTTCCATGCATTTATTTTTGGTTTTTTGATAAAAGTTTAATTTCTCTCATTTCATGCACTTATATGATGACTTGAATTCCAATATCCAAGAAATTAATCAAAATGTGATTCTTATTATGAATATTATATAATTATATGAATGTATGGCTATAATTCTTAATGCTTGGAATTCACCTTCCACAACCTCCCAATGAATGACTTAAAAAAAAATTTTCAAAGTTAATGCTTTATAACCTCCAAAGATTTCATATTATGTTATTATATCTTTTTTTATTCAATTGTAACATTAAAATTAACCTTAAATAATTGAAAGCCTATAAATAAAAGCCATATACAAAGCATTAGATATCCAAGTGAATGACCTATACTTTATTATTTCTCTCCCAATTCTTCTTGCCTTGCCATTGTCTTTTCTTCCCTTCTTATTTTCATAACAATTCTTCAGTTTTTATTTTTGACAAAAACTGAATAAGGATTCAGAGTTGATCAGGTTTGCATGGGGAAACTAGTCAATTGCTTTCAGCGAGTTCAAATCTCAAACCTTGGCAAGCTTAGCCTCAGATTACTGGCAGTATTGCTTCAGATAGCTTCCAAAGAAAGACAACGTACAAATTTCTGATGGAGAAGATGCTAGCATAGTTAAATTATCCCCAGGGCTAGACTACTTTCTTTTAATGCTTGCTTTCTAATAAATCTGACACTGGAAAAGTATTAAACAAACTATATCTCAACAAAATGATTGACACATTTTGCTGACAATATAAGACATTTATATTTTGGATGGAGTTTATCATTAGGGCTGATCCTTGATAGGCCCCCCCGGGAATCCCTCACCCAACTTGTCACTTGATAAATATTTCTGGATTTCGTAGCTGTGTGTGTCATTGTCCTTCTGTCCATTGAATCCCCATCCGAATGATCATCATCTTCAAAGTGATCCAAACATCATCAAAAGATATATCCATGATCCTTCAGATAATGCCTGGAGAGCCAATTAATGGATGCTGTAATGCCCCGGCAATATTTGTGGATTTTAGATACATCTCTCAGTACTTGTACATATATCTTTTAAATCCCATCAGCACCACATGATGTCCTGATCAGCATGAAAGGCATGGGCTTTGAAAGCTCAAATTAATTCTTCAGTGCCCGTTAACTTGTCATACTCATTCTCATCTATAGCTCCTTTCTTCAATTTTTTCCACAGCCGATATTCTCGCATAAGCTCATCATCATCTTCAACTGACTGCTGAGCACGTCTCTGTTTAGCTGTTTTCTTCCTTGTTACAGGGGCCGCTTTGGCGGTTTTGGTGGGTTTCTGAGGCTTTGCCTCTTTGTCTTTGGCTTCTTTCTTAGCTTGCAAGTTTTGCCTCCTTTGTTTTTCACGAGATTTATCCCTAAACAATAATGACATATGCAATTAACAAAGGCTAACAGGAAAGATACCAAGTATTTTAGGAAGGAACACTAAAGATACTAGGACTAATTCCCCCCTCCCCACCCAAAAAAAGAAAAAAAGAAAGAAAGAAAGAAAGAAGAAGATATTTGAATCTTGCATAGTGATAAGAGTAGTTTTCATCTTTCAAACATGAAGCTTAAAATATAATTTATTTAGATTTTAAATCAAAATAGCCCAACTAAAGTAATTAAGTGTTCAGTGCACAGAATGAAATAAAAGAGAGAGGCTACAAATTTAAGCTAAATATTCATTTCATTTGATGATGCTTTCAATCTGAGAAGGCTTAAAATGAGAAGAGGGAATTTTTTTTTTTTTTTTTACCTGTACTTAATGTCCTCCAAATTAATGTCTTCAACTGGTACAAAACCTTCCGTGGAAAGTGACTGCTGTTTTAACTCTGACATTGAAGGAAGCTGCAGTAAGCCATATCCCATGGCCAACTTACCAATTTCAAGTTCTTTCCACCTGAAAGGACGAGTAATTACAGACATCGTGATAACAATGACTTGTGATGATGAACAGAAACTGTTTTGTGAACAAACAATAATCACCTAAAAATATAGGAGCAGTGATGCTCTTTATAAGCACGTATATAAGAAACAAATGCCCTAAGTCCTTTCTCCATTACATCACGATCCTTTTTGGCAGCAGAACGAAGCTGTAACAAGTTTTGATTTAGAATATAGGGGTAACAATGTTGAAAAATTTAAATCGCATAAATCACTATCCCATTGGTGATTTGAAAAAGATGGAAATGGTAAACGATTAGGCTTGGAGCTGACCTCAGGAACAACATCAGATGCATCATTAGAGGAACTTCTCTCTTGGAGGGGGACTCTTCTTACACGAAGGAATTCCACATAAGATTCTTCCTACTTACAAAAGCAACAGTTTTACCATGATAAAGGAAATGTAAAATTATCCATCCAGAAAGGGTTACCAGAAGTATATACATTTGACCACACCTTTGGCAATAAGAAGACAATAGCATGTCCTTGTTTACCCAGCCGAGCAGTTCTCCCAACTCTATGTATGAAAACATTAGGGTCTTGCGGCGGATCATACTGCATGGGACAAACTGATCTCCATTACATATTGGCTATCGATGTTAACTATCAAGAACAGCATTTGAACATCATTTTTTAATTTACTTTGACAACAATGAGTAATTGCAATGAAACAAAAGAAGATAAAGCAAAGTTGACAGCAAACGGCAGCATTTACATTATTGCAAATCTACCTGCACTATACAATCAACTCCAGGTATGTCAAGTCCACGTGCTGCAACATCTGTGCATAGAAGTATCCCATTTGAAAGAGATGTAAATGACGCCAATGCCTTCTCCCTAGCAGCCTGCATGGCAAAGTACAATAAAAAAGGAAGCACACGAAAAGTTAAACTATAAAATAGTGGACAATGAGGAGAACAACAACGAAACAAGAAATACTGATCTTCAATTATGAATAATGTTAAAAGCCAGCTTTATACCTGCTTCATCTTTCCATGAAGAGGGATTAAGGAGAAACCTTTCAGGGCAGGAAGGCGAGGAAGGACAAGTCCCCAATAGTCAACACAGGCACAGGTCATGAAGTATCTGTATTGGAATAAAAACAGTATTTGAGTAAGATAATTTGTTCCATCATTCAAATTATACTTAAAAGGTACATATCTCACATTATCATTTTCTTGGAGCGGTTCTTCATTAAGATATCAACAAGTTGTGATGGTTTCTTTTCAGCCTCACATTCCATGTACTGAAAACTCAAGAAAAGGAAGAGAATGAATTTAAAAGTATAGGATCAATGTAGCATATATCAAGCATCTTCTAGCCATTCATGATATGTGATGTATAGATTTTGTTAAGAATGAAAGAGGCCCAACCCAACAATCAGTCCTACGTGAAGCTTAGCGAGCATTGTACCTCAATTTGAAGTCCTGCTGGCGTCCTTGAAGAGACTGGCTGTTGTGATGCTGCAGGGTCATTTACTGATTTTGACTCTGCCTGAACTTCAACCCTCACAGGATTTCTCAGCCCGGCTTTAGAAAGCTCCTCAACAGCCTCAGTTTGAGTAGCAGAGAATAGACCTGTTCTGCGAAGCTTTGGTAAGAGAGATATAACGGAATTAATCTGCTTCTGGAATCCCATATCCAGGAGTCTATCAGCCTCGTCTAAAATTAAAATCTGGAAGAACAAAGAATCCCCATCATCTTTTCTGACTAAAGTGAAGATAAAACACCTCCAACATTCTATCACTCAGAAACCCAAATACAAGGTATAATTAACAAGAAAACATATACCTCGAGGCTTTTAAAATCCAATATATCCATTCGATCCATTATGTCATATAGCCGCCCAGGTGTGCCAATCAATATATTAGCTCCCTCTTCCTCAATTTCTTCATATCTGCCTTTACGTCTACTCCACCAACAAGGAGCATGGACTTAACATTAGCTAAAGTTTTAATGAAAGGTTGTGCAACATGGTATATTTGGGATGACAGCTCCCTGGTGGGAGATATAATTATTCCAAATACCTACAGATTAAAAAATAGAAAAAGAATCTTTAGAGACATAAAAACAAATTAAACCCCGCCTTTCTCTCGGTGATCTTTCAAAGCATATGCAACAAGCTGCAATCATGGTCTTCAAGAAACAAAGACAGGACTGCCGTTACCCAAATTTAGGAACAAATCAAATGGCGAGGAAACCCATATTCTCAAAAATCTATATTAGAAATCTCATACCAAAATCAGCATTCTTAGTTTTGTCAGTTCATTTTTCTAAGATATTGGGAAAAAAATCTCCATATCGACCGTGACAGGATTTAAATAGCCGTGTAAGATTATTTTACCGCGTATCAGCAACCCAGAAAAGCGAACATTCTATCAATTTCTCTAAGGCCCAAAACATTACAACGAAACGCAATATTCTTTTTTTTATTTATTTGCTTCATGTTTTTTCAATAGCAATTTAGTCGGTACACAGAAAAACGAAGTCATATGAACCTGATGAAGTTTGGGTTTGGAACAGGACCGGCGGAGAATCTCAACAAGTGGAACGACAAATGCCAGTGTCTTGCCTGAGCCGGTGGCAGCGTCGACAGCCACATCCTTAAAACTGCATAGCAAAGGTATTGTGGCAGCTTGAACCGGCGTGCAGAACTCGAAGCCAGACTTCGACAGGGCTTCAAGGACCGGTTTAGAAAGTGGCGGGTTCAGCTCAGAAAATCGCGTTCTCGTTAAGGCTTTGTTGGGGGAATGAGAGTCCATGGTTCCAAAGCTTCCCGGCGTTCCCCACTGGGCTGCTTGTTCGAGTGGGGCGATTTTGCCGACCTCTTTCTGATCGCTAGGGTTTTCAAAATTAAACCTTTTTTCCCGGTAATTGAAAATAACTTGAGCAGAATGAAAGGGAAGTCTCAAAAACAAAAACAAAAACAAATATTATCACTACATTTTTTTAAGAAGTTAACTGTAAATATTAATTCAAATTATAAATTAAAAAATTTGAATTATAAATATAATTTTTAATTTTTAGATATAATAATTAATATATAATTAAAAATTTTATTTATAATTGTTTAAATTAATATTTATAATTTATTTTATCAAAAACTTATTTGTTAATAATTCATCCTTCAAACTTTATTGTCTATCTCCCAATAACTTGAACACCCTCTCCCGCCAAATCAATGAATAATTGATTGTTAGTATTTTACTCTGAATTTCATTTAAAGTTTCAAATTGGATAATTTTTTTCTGGTTTTTTCACTTGACGTAGCTCCGTGTGATTGGATTTTAAAAAAAGACGATATCTAAAAAATGGAAAAAAAAATGCTTTATAAGATATGATAATAAAAACAGGCTATTCTATTTTTATGTTTAATACAGTTATTTGATGTTTAATATTACTAAATCAAATTTAAAAAGAAAGGGGGGAAATTATCACACAACAACAGAAAATGCCATAAAATCCCACCAATTACACAAATTATCCCAAGATCCATGGTTGTAATTAATTTTTTATATACATTTACTAAAATACCGTCATTCTCTTAGATTATCACGGACTGTCGAACCCATTTTGATAAAACATATGTAAAATATTATTTTTATATACAAACTAGTATTTACTATCTTGTGCATTGCCCGGAGAGCATTAACTAGTTAATCTAATAAAATTAACACGTATCATGTGAACTATGATACATAATTATGTTACATTTCCATACAAAAAATTGTATATAATTTATCATTCATGAAAACTATTTGTAAAAGGTAAATTAGACATAGCGTATGTAAGCAAACATCCCATCAACAGTTGCCTAGATGGGCAATGATATTTCAACTCTAATACATTGAACATAGTGCTAGGTCAGAATAAACATTAGAAAACTGTGATTAAAAATTCTTACATCCATTACACTAAATTCTTAAAATTCTATCTATAAACATTTGTTGCATTACATTTCCTATGAGGTAAAAAAATCTTGAATCCTTCCACACCCTTAGCCCTAATAATGTCACATACAATTGACAATATATCAATACAGGCAAGTACAAACTAACTAACATTGAGCAGTAATTGATCTTGAGTTTTATTAATTGTCATTGCAAATGAAACATTAAAAATTACTTTTGCAAGTGTCTATCCTATAAATTAAGACTTTAATTTTGCTTGAAACCATTTAAAGTTGTTCCTTTAATGACATTTCTTTTAATACAAATGATATGTAATCTCATATCATTGCATTCATATCATTGCATTGACCCAATACCTGAGGCTTAGTCAATATTTTCATTAACTTCATCTTTCATAAAAAATTATATAAAAGAAATATTTAAAAATTTGAAACCAAAATTGCCTGCATAAAACAATAAAAAATTTGTAAGAGACACGAACATAAAAAGTGAGCAAAGCAACAACAAAAAAATGATAGTAATAATAATACAAACTTGCAGGCTGACAATTGTTATTAAATCACGTTTCTACTCCTCGCACAACAGTGGAATGAAAATAATTTATATTCTCACTAACTTGACGATGTGATTTAGTGTTAACTTCTATAGTTATATATTTTCATTGGATTTAAAACAGTAGTCATACCATCCATGCATCAAGCAAGTAGCAACACCCTCAATAACCTTGGTGTACACTATTTCTTCCTTCCCATTTTTTGAATTTATTTCCTTTTTTTTTTTCACTTTTTAATCTCTCTCACCCAATCCTCCGTCTTGCTCTCAATCACACAACAACAAAAATTGATGTCGCGCAAAAGCCTTCCTTTCTTTGTTTCCTTTTTATTATTCCTTTAAAGGAAATAAACAAGTAATTGTCGAAATTAATATTGTTAATTAGTTAAACAATCCACTTTAAGCAAGTACAAGCACCAATACAATAAAAATAAGATAGGACTTCACATATGCAACGCTAATTGCTCTTTTCTTTTCTTTTCTTTTTTTTTTTTTATATTGGTGACATGTGGTAAGCTTTCTCGATTTTTATTTTTGTACATTTACTAAGATGCCCTCATTCTCTTAGATTACCATGGACCGTCGAACCCATTTTCATAAATATATGTAAAATATTATTTTTATATACATAATACACAAGTTACACCATACCAATTATTTACAACAAAATAAAAAGAAACGGTAATGAGGCAAATGACAAAAATAGCTGAAATAATTTGAACATAAAAAAAACTTACTTTCTTGACTTGATGGATAAAATGATTGTAAATATGTCTCTTACATCGAGTTGAAAACTCTTATCACGTGCAAATAAACTTGGGTATAGTAGCACAATGTGGTGTAAATCCATTCCCATTCTCTCAAAGGCATTTTATCAAAGAACTAATGATAAAAGTAAAGTATTAAAAATCAAACTGATCATTAAATCAACTAAAGTAAGAATTCAATCGGAGGTTAAATTAAAGTTAACTATAATGATAAAATAATATAATTTAAATAAATACTCATTAATTGTTAATACATTTATTCATATCAAGACTAAATAACTTGTATGACATATAAAAATAATTCTAACAATAGTAAAAAAAATTCACATGATAATAAAATTAAATTGATAAAAATAATAATGAAATATAAACATAGAATTAAAAAATAAAAATAAAAAATTTACAAGTTAAAAAAAATAACAAATATATAAGTTCAATTAACAAAAAATTGAAATGTGAGGTGTGTGAACAGTGACAAGCAGACAAAACGTACATGGTTTAGTTAAAAAAAAAAAAAAGAGGAAACGTGTATGGAGAAATAGGATGTGAAGACCATACTGACACCTCGTCTAAATTAAAAAAAAAAAAAATCAATGAAGGTATTGCCACTGGTTTAAAATTTGAATAGCAACAATCATTTTATCTCTGGATTTCCTTCTTTGACTTTCATTTGGTTCAGCCTCTCCTTCCCTCACAAGAACAGCTCCACCACTATGAGACAAAGATGATGGTGAGCGATGGACAACAACAGCAAAGCTGGTGATGAAGCAAAGTTGTTGATGAAACCCATGGAAGGCTGAGAAGGTTGAAGGCGAGGCTCACAAATGACAGATGCATGAAGATCGCTGACAGAAGGATGAAGATCTATTCTTTTCCTTTTAAGCAAATCATGGGCAAGAGATCAGAGCCGCAACTAGCGAGAGGCTTCTGGTTTCTTTTCTTTTAATAATTTTCATGTAATCTGCCCAATTCGCCTGACCCGTGAGGTTAGGCGAGTTAATCTTGAGTCACATGAGTTAACATAGGTTAATTAATACCTAAAGAAGTACATGACTAGACTGGATGCATTGTCAGTCTGGCTAGTCTGATTCAAGTTGGATTTACAAACAATTGGTAAAAGCTAATAATCACCCCTTAAAAAGGCAAACAATTGATTGTCATGGGAGTTTTGTACTTGGGACGATTCTCGCAAGCTTAAATTACACTTGAGTTTTGAATTGTGTGTTCTTTCTTTTAAAACAAAGCTACAATTGCCTACTTTAAAATTTCTTCGTTTTCAAAATCATTCCTCTTACATGAATATATTAGAATTACAGAAACCATTTAGATGCCACATTCGAGTTCTATTATCCACGTCGGCTTCAGGTTCATGTGTTCTTGCATCTCGTCATTTGTCTAGGCAAGTTTAATCATGTTTGGAACGTTCAAGGATTAACTGTGAGACTAGATGCAAGTTGCCAGACCTACTTCCCAAAAACAAAAATATAGGGACCAACTTATAAATTACCGTTAAGTATCGGGACGGAGGGTTTGATTTCTCGTTATTGGTTTCAAGTTTGTATCTCATGCAAAAAAGATAGACTCGGTGAACACTAGTACATGGCCCATGAAGAGGTGCTGAAGCTGAACAGATTGTGAAAGATAAAACGGGCCATAGTTGACAAGCCCAACAAGAGCTTATAGTCCCAGAAAAAGTAGTAAGCCCAGCAATACATTTATAAGTCCAAATATTGACTAACTTAATGCTTGCCGAAATAAGTTTCGCAATCACCAATATATTATTTAATTGTGTAAACTTTTCTATGAGTTTTCTTTAAAAAAAAAAATGGATGACATGCGTTTTGAAAATCTCCTCTATTGACATCCATCCATCCAGACACGCATAACCCTTATCATCTTCCATTAACGTGGTTGGAGTGACTACATACATGGACCTTCGAATCAAGTTTTGTGTTTCATGCCAACTTAATTCATAATGAAGCTCCGTTCCTTTCTTGTATATTGTATGGCCATGGTTTTGCGATGCAGAGATTTTTAATCATCATCATCGCCAGTATATTTTGTCCTTACTTCTGTCATTACTTAGTTTGCAGCCTTGCATGTAGCGACAAATTTCTCCTTCAATTAAAATCGGCCATTCTTTATTTTCTGACATTATTTTTTTAAGAAAAAAATAATTTTTGATCCATTTATTTTTTAACATGTTTTGATATTAGTTCTTATATTTTTATTTTGTTGTTTCAAGTCTTTTAAGTTTTATCTATTTATAATATTAGTTCTTATATTTTTAGATATACCCGTAAAGACTTAAGAGTAACTAACATGTGCTTAAACCCTGTACTTTTTACATTAACTTGTTAAAATTATTTGAGTTGTATTAAAAAAATGAGTAGAAGACAAAAAAAAACAATGCATTAAATATTTTTAATCATGCAATGGATAAGGTTTTAGAAGGAAAAAAACATATAGTTAAGATAGACAAGTAAAAAAATTAATAATCAATTTGCTCATATAATATTTAACTTATCAAAATTTTATAAACTACTCACCAACAAAAATAAACATAGTTATTATACACATCTTCAGATCTAATTTTGCCAATGATGATAAAAACTAACATTGTAGATTGTAGACATATGAAATTTAAGGAACTTGGAACAACAAAATACAAATATAAGAATTAATACTAAAACACGTTAAAAAGCACAGGACCAATAATTATATTTTTCTTTTTTTTTATATACAGTTATAAAACGAAACACAACTTCAAAAGAATTGCGATGAGATTAGCTATCAAGAGCTCACTAGGTATCATCGAAGCTAGGGCTCACACAACATTTTAAAACCCAAGGAATGGGTTGTAAAATAATAAACTTAAAAACAAATAGCTTAAAATTTTAAGGGTATATATACTAAATTTAGAGTGTTTCCTAAAGTTAAGGGATGCGTTTGCCCTTATAACTTAAATTGGTTTAACCCTCCCACCGCAAATCCCCAATATGACTTTAAAGTTAATTAAACTTGTAGATAGCATGTTTCATCAGCCACACAAGACAAGTAAAGTGGACGTGCAAGCTATCCAAAGATTGGACTCCCCAATTTCTAAGCAGCACAAAACTGTGAAAGGCCAACTAACAGATTATAGAAGCAACACATCTGAACATAAGTTATTTCCAAATTTAACCCAAACGTAAGCAGTTAAATGGATTGATCTTGGATTAGAAATCATGATTAGTTGGAGAAAAATCATTAGTTTATTGGGAATTTAGTTGATCAATCATGGTTGAAACGTGAATGTCCAGCACAGAATCCGCGAATACCGCTAGAGTCCACGAGTGGGTTGCAAATGAAAACAAACGCGACCTAATACATTTTCAGCTGACACGTACCTAAACCCCGCACCCTTTGTTTATTATCATTATTATTTTTAAATGTTGAAAAAATGTCGTCGTGGGTCACCTTTTTATTTTTTAATTACAATAAAACATTCTCCAATTTTACGTTAACCCCACATTCCCACCCCATAACCATAATTGTACAGTGTATAGTCCAACCCTCCTTTCCAGGCTGTAGAACCATGCGTCGGTCTTATTTTCTTAATATTATTTTCTTTTTAAATTCTAATTCTCCCAGCATGACAGATATATTATTCTAGACCAATGAGTGGAATTCAGAAGGATGCCCGAATGTAATGTGACATGTTTACCCAGTCTTGAAATAATTAAATTCTATTCGTTCCCTACATTTCGAATATTTTTTTTTCCAGGCAAAAAAAAAAGGAATATTGAATTTGTTTATTTCGAATATTATGCACTGAATGAAAATTAGTTACTGAATAAAAATATTATGGAGGAATGGCTTGCCTAATAAATCACATGCACCAAACTACCTCAATTATAATGCCCATGTTCGTGCATGAGGCGAGGAAACAATTATCTATTTATTATGATTATTTTCACGAGAACAATTAATTGTTACATACAAACATGAGTTAGTGTGAATTTGGATAACAATTAATTAAATTTTTATATTTTTTGGTCAAAGTTTTCGTTTTTCTTACTTTTGACCAACAAAAGGGTGCATGGAAAAGAACTAAAAGCAAGAAAACAGAGGTCAGAGTGGGAAAAAAAATGATCCTATAAATATAAAAACACCACAATCACAGAAAGTACAGATGGAGCGAAACTCAGAGGGGAAGGTACGGAACAGGAACAACAGAAATTAGGGCTAGTGAGGTATATTAATGGAAGAGACGGAGAGATGAGAAAGAATACAATTACCCCAAAGAGGCTTGGGGTCAACATGCAAATGAAGCCACCATCGTCTCGCTCCTCTCGTCTCTCTCCCCTGCTTCTTATCTTACTAGCTTTCATCCTCTTCGCCTCCGTCCTCTATGGCCACAACCTCCTCTTCATCTCTCGTCAACATCCCCACTTCTCCGATCCCCCTGGTGAGTTCTATTTATCGCTAAAATTAGCAGGGTCATAAGGCTCTGTTTAGATGACAAAAAAATAAAGGCTTTTCCGGTGATCAGCTCGTCCTCCGGAGAAGGTCGTAAGGCTGCAGCAGAAGGCGGTGCCGTTTGCCATCGGGAGAACGGAGGAGGGGTGCGACTTGTTCAGCGGGAGGTGGGTCCGGGACGAGGCGGCGGGGCCATTGTACGAGGAATCGGAGTGTCCGTACATACAGCCGCAGCTGACGTGTCAGGAGCATGGGCGGCCGGAGAAGGAGTACCAGCACTGGCGATGGCAGCCCGACGGTTGCGATCTTCCCAAGTAAATGTCCCCATCTAAAGCTATGTCCTGCTTTTTTGCCTTGCTTTTTGTTTACTTGCCTTCTGATTCACGGTCAAAATCATCGGTAAATCGGCTTGAATTTCTTGGGGAAAAAAACCGGTTGCCGACAACTTTCGGAAAAAGAATGTACCGGAGGGCCGAGCCGGAGATGTGCATGCTTGGCGCGTGTGAACTGATGAAGAGACAATTTGGTTGCCAACTAAAAGACAGCTCCAAATTGAATACTATCAATTTCTGTTCTATTTTTTTTTTCCCTCCACAAAGACATTGCATGCTCCCATTGGCAATTATAGGCTAGACTCTAGAGTTGCGGACAAGGTAAAACCTAATATGAATATTTAACGCAAGTGATTTTTTTTAAAAGACGTTTTATATTTATGATCCCAATATAATTTTACTAAACTTAGAAGTGTTACAAGTTTTGAAGAAAAAATTATCAAGTTTTCTCAGTTACGATAAAGTGATTAAACCTTTGTTTTACATCCGTATGAAATGATAAATATATCAGATAAACATAATCGTTGATCGAGTAGATATATTTCGTTTGGAATTTGTGGTTGGCTTTTATGTGTGTTATATGATACCAGAACGTACCTTCAAGCGTACTTAAATAATATTTCTTTCATTTTAAATTATAAGATATTTTTAAATAAAATTTTATATATTAATAAATCTTATTAAATATATTTAATAATTTTATTTTTAAAAAACATGAATTTTAAAAAATATTTTTTATTTAATAACCTTAAATATATACTTAATTAGTATTAATAGAGAGAGGGTAATATTAAAATAAGTTTATTTAAAAAATTTTAATCTTTTTAAAGTATTTTATATTTTAGAACTGTAAATTTATTTAAAAATATTTTATAATTTAGGATGGAGGGAGTGATGAGGACATATTAAGATGTACGTATAAATATATAATTAAGATATATGTGCAAAAATCTCTCTGTCCTTTTTGTGTATGAATCACATCTGGAATTGGGAACTAGATTTTTGTTTCTATTATATTTTATATTTTTATCTTTGTGTTTTCACCTGGCTATAAAAGTGCAGCAGATTGACCTGGCATCACCGGATTGTCCTACCTAACATAATGATAACCATTGACTCCGATAATGCACTAAAATCTTAATTATAATAAACAGAGCTTGATTCATGAATGATGAGCTTTTGTTCAACTTCCAGGAGCAGTTGTTGACTCTATTAAAAAGTTCAGAAGATTAATAGGCAAATTTGCGAAGAGGAAAACTATATTTTCTTGGCCATTACCTTTCATTGGATGGCCATCGACGGGTAGTTGAAGCTTTAATTTGGATCATGTCTTTTTTTAAATCATGATTTTGCAGCAGTTAATTCATTCTTATTTCATGCGAATCTAATTCGTGGAAAATGTAAGAATTGGTTTTGTTTAAGAATTATTTGAAGAGAATTTAAGGATCCACGGGCCCAACACATTGGGGCCAATAATTGGGCTCCCGTTTGAGTCTAATGCAGTAAGGCACAGAACATGTACTTGGCACTGTTGGGAAATTGATACTCGTGGTCCAATCAAAATGCCAAAAATAGCCTCGGGATTTCCTCAAAATTTCCCACAAGGTGTTAATTAAATTGAAGTCTGTAGCCTGCATTTTATGCTGATTATATGCTTAAAATATCCAAATTGAAAGCCCGCCATGTGAGGAACATACAATATGTATTAACATGATGGTGATCAAGGGGTGCAGATTCAATGCGAGTCTGATGCTGGAAACACTTCGCGGGAAGAGGATGATGTTCGTCGGAGACTCCTTGAATCGAGGTCAGTACGTCTCCTTGGTCTGTCTTCTTCATCGCCTCATTCCTCAGGACGCCAAATCCATGGAAACCTTCGATTCACTCACCGTCTTCACGGCCAAGGTCGATGATTCATCCTTGTTGTTACTATAATGTTATTACCTCGTACGTGGGGACAATCGTGTATAATTCTGCATTTTTTGTTTGTTTGTTTAGAACTACAATGCCACTATCGAGTTCTACTGGGCGCCATTTCTTCTGGAGTCCAACTCTGACAACGCCGTCATCCACAGGATAACCGACAGGATTGTGAGAAAGGGTTCCATCAACAAACACGGTCGGAACTGGAAAGGCGTCGACATCATCGTATTCAACACCTACCTGTGGTGGATGACCGGCTCCAAGATGAAGATCTTGTGAGTTTATATTCCTTCTTTCCTGTATTAACATTGTTCTTGATCCTGTTGCAAAATTGATATATATATACACCTAACAATAAGAAAAGTTCAGGCTTGGATCTTTTGACGACAAAGTGAAAGACATAGTGCATATGTCAGCTGATGAGGCTTATCGCATGGCAATGAAAAGTATGGTGAAATGGGTGAAGCAGAACATGGACCCTAATAAGACGAGAGTCTTCTTCACCAGCATGTCTCCTTCTCATACAAAGTGAGTAGTCTATGTATAATGCATGCACACACACCCCTCATCGATGCATGTCGTACAAAGTAAAGCTTGTGTGGTCATTCTGATATAAATGTTTGATGGATGTGAAGGAGCATAGAGTGGGGAGGGAGAGAGGGAGGGAACTGCTACAATGAAACGAGGCCGATGGAGGATGTTATGTATGACTGGGGAGGGGAGGCGGAGAGAAGCATAATGAGAGTGATAGGGCAAGTGTTTGGGAAATCCAGAGTGGGCATCACGTTCCTCAACATAACGCGGCTCTCAGGTTACCGCAAAGACGCTCACACCTCCATCTACAAGAAACAATGGAACCCTCTCACTCCTCAGCAGCTAGCTAACCCTACTTCATACGCTGATTGTGTTCACTGGTGCTTGCCTGGCCTCCAAGACACTTGGAATGAGCTTCTCTTCGCCAAGCTCTTTTATCCTTAGATTCAATCCGACCACGGGACAGGAGGAAAGAAAGGAATAATTTGTCTACTGTGTAAAATAGGGACTGTTGATCTATTGAAAGACAGGGATCAGATGGTGTATGCTGGAAAATTGATTGATTCTTTTTGTTATAAGCCTCATTCACGTTTTGACATGCGTTGGGCTCGAACAAAGTGCCTCATTTATGATGATTCCCCGGTGGGTTTCCTTTCCGTCAGTGAGAGAGAGGAAGAAACCATGGTCTTTTGAGGGGGGAAAAATAGATGAATTAAACTCAAAAATTAAAATATCTAATTTGGAATTGAAAACTTATAATTTTTAAGAAAAAATTATCATTGTAACTAATGATTTCTAATTAATTCTTCATGCTGTTTTAATTAAAAAAAAAAAGATTAGAAAAATCCTGCATGATAGGTTCAATTCTTTTTTTTCCTTCTTCACTTTAGGAGAATTACTTTGAAGTATTCAAATTCTCTCAAAGTCTCATGAAATTCATAAATTGCTACAAAGTCTCAAGTCCCTTAAATGTAAACAAGTTTGTCTATATAATTACAAAAAAACCCTTATCTTTATTGCAGACCACACCATACCAGACTCTACCTCTTTGATCAAAGGTAGTAACAGCCAAGCCTTTATGATGTTCCCGACCGCTGGAAAGAAGGGAGGATGTGCATTTGAAAACAACCAAGCACCTTCGTCACTGAAAGTAACCTGCAGACTTGTCCTCGAGGCATTGACTTGCTTCCCAAACCTCCCTCTATTGATGACTGGCCGGAATCCGTATGCGTCCACCAACACTTCGATCATCCCTTGCTACTTTGTAGCATACTTGTGACTACCCAGAACTCCTCCCCCACCACCCTTCCTTGGCACTCGTTCTGCTCCTGGCTCGTTGGCCATAGCTTTTCCCACTTGTCCTTCACCACGTCGTAAACCGATGCCGTTTATGTAACACCACTTGAAATAAAGACAAGGATTGATTAAAAACTAATTCAAAATTTATACAACTCTAAAATCAAATGAAGAATTAAAACCAGTCTAGGATCTTTCTCGAGAAAATCCACTAATCATTACCAAACAAAAACAAGCCGTCATAGAAGAGGGGACTTCCTCTGTGATGAACAAATCCATTATGGACAAATTCCACAGGACATAACAGACGACATCTCTATTGATCGACAAATCATAACAGGGTATCACGTACTAGTAATTTACAACAGACAAAGAAAACACTTGGCTAGAAACTACATACATAGGAGTACAAGAGGACAACCATATACTTGAGTCAAATCAGCCCTGTCACCACGAGTAGACAACAAATTATAACTCTCACCTGAAAAATTATTATTTTCTGCTTAAAAATGTTGTGGCTCACTCATTTAGTCATTGTCAACACAACCAATCAAGAAACAAAAAGTTGCGTAGTGTCGTTGACTCGTCGATAGGGTGGGCCTGATTGTGTTGGCTGATAGATGGGATGTTCGGTTTGAGAGGGTTTTTTATTTTGGGCCTCGGGCCTCATTTTCTCACCAAAAAAGTTGTATCTCATTGGAATGGGCCTAAATGCTCGGATGGTCATTGGGCATGCGCACTAGTCCCCAGTCCAGAATGCAGCAACTGTTTTTTAACCCTCTGAATACTAAATAGTAATTAGCATCCCATGTCCTCACTTGATCTTTATTTTTATAGGGTAATTCTATATAGAAAAGGTACGATAGAGTAAACTCTTTTCTTCATAAGACCAAACAGCTGAGAATATTCTCATTAATGAGAGTTTTATGATTATAAACTTTGCAAAGAAGAATCCTTAAGCAGACCATGTTGTTATGGGCGTTCACAGTTGGCATCCGGTTTTGCATGTATATTGTTGGTGTCGTCCTTGCTTTCAAAATTTGGTTCACAACATGGTCAGTATTTGTTGAATAAATGAGTTTAGATCAGATGGAGGTCTCAAGTCTCAACAGTTGGTAGGTGCATCTTTTGGTTTCTCTGGAATGAGGACATAACTTCTCCAACTCTTCAGCTTTGCCAACATTAATATGAAGATTGATCAGCGCCACACCTAGAAGGGCTCACTATTGAGACCAAATATGGTAGTACAACCTACAATGCTCCACATCATATAGTTACTGTAAGTTAGCCGAGTTAGATACATGATTGTTTGTTGGAAAAATAATAATAAAATTCCTTTAAAATATATAAATAATAATTTAGTCTCTCAAAATACTATAATTTTTCTAAAGTCTTTAGGGACTTTCTGTCATTAATGAATTTATATAAATTATTAAATTATCCTTGTTAAAAATAAATGATTTTAAATTCTATATTCACAACTTTTCTTTTTATATTAACAACAATGCAATAGCAAAACAATTGTTATTGTATTGTTGAAAATAAATGATTCCATTGTTGTTGTATTATTGTGAATATAAGAAGAAAAGTTATGAATATGACAAGAAAAATTGTGAATTATTTATTTTCAAGAAGGGTAATTTAATAATTTATATAAATTCATTAATGATAGAAAATTTTTTAGGAACTTCAGAAAAATTATGAAATTTTAGGAGATTAAATTATTATTTATATATTTTAGATGAATTTTATTATCACTTTCCTTTATTCGTTCATTCATTCGTTTGTTTTATATATGTGTGTGTGTGTGTGTGTGTGTGTGTGTGAGAAGAGGGTTGATAGTTTGTTTTTAGCCTTGTTAGCTCACTCTGTTCTTATTGGACTCATGATGCAATACGCATATAGGGGCTGCTTTGGAAGTTTTGAGGAATGAGGTGAAATTATTATAGAAGTTTATAGTATCATATAATCGCATCAATTTGCATATTATTTTTTATGTTTGCAAGCTTCAAAATTATTTCTCAATGCTTTATGATAAAATAATTCTAGCATTCTACTTTTAATATGAAATATACTCAATTCATTCAATTTATATTGTAATATAGTTTATCTTTGATAGAATTTAGACAATTTTAAAATTAAAATCTTATTTAAATGCTAGTGATGATTATTATTGATGCCGTTATTAATCAATACTCAGTAAGAAAAAAAAACTTGAACAAATGTGTAATTTATCATTGAACTTTTCATAAAAATATCTTTTTATATTTATCACTTACTTTTCATTAAATTTATACTCTACATATATTTCAATAGCCATTTTGTGAAGAAATAAAGTCATTTTTCCTATAATTTATCATTGAATTCTATACTATTATATGCTTTGCAAAATGAAATTCAACACTATTGTTTAAATGAGGTCTTAGGCCAGGACCTTAATGGCCTAAGGATAGTAGCATTATTTTTAAAACCAAACCAGATTGGTGAATTAACGAACCTATCGTTCATCCAGTTTGATTTTCTATTTCAAGCTGCCCTTAATTAACTCAGGTTAGCTCGGGTGACTTGAGATTAAACTGGATCAGCCGCCTACCCTATGGGTCAGGCGAGTTGATTTTTTTTAACTTTCCAAAATAACATCATTTAGGGCTGAAAAAAAGGCAGAAGTCCTGAGTAATGAACCTTTTCATAGTCTTTAACTCTCAAACTTAGACCTCTCCTCTTCACTATTTTGTTCTCATTCTCTTCTCTATCATATCTTATCTCATTGTCCTCGATCGTCCCTGAGCAGTAAGCTTTAAGCAGCTACTTTATGGGTCGTGTAACATCCTAGTTTTTAATCTCTTGATTAACTAAATAATTAGGATAATTAAGTAATTATAGTAGTGTGTGGACAGGGAGGTCTAATAATTATATTCGATCATATTTTAGCCTTAATTATGGGCTTGGTATCAAGTTGGACCACTCGAGCATCAAAAGAAAAAGAAAATGAAGGGTTAGTATTGTTGTGCCACATGTTGTGGTGTGGAATACATCTGTCACAACACAGAAACACTTTAGATGTGAGAATCAAGATCTCTTTGTGCCATGTGCCATGACACACAATCATTTTTTACAATTTATCATACACGAACTGAAACATAAATAGAGAGGAGAAAAAGGAGAAAATGAAGGGGCATGTCAAGCTCTGTTAGGGTTTGTTCTTGGATGGCATTGGGAGTGTTTTGAAAGCTACAAACCCCTAAGGTAAGTATCATGCCTCTTAATCTTCCATTTTCTTTCACATTATGAAGTTTATGATTAATGTTTGATAGTTGAAAATAATTTTTAATCTATATGGGTTATAGATCCAAATCTATTAACTCAAATGAAGTTAATAGGGGTAGATTAGAATATCTAAACTTAGGTATAATGAATTTTGGTGTATTGGGTGGTTGGGCTTCATAAATATGTTAAATTTATATTAATATGGGTTGTTAGAAGAATGTGATGTCATTAATGGGAGTTTGATGGCTTATTAATATTATTGGGGACTAAATATAGTTAATAAACCCAATGGATAGGCTTAAATTCATATAAAGTGGGTATTGGGCAATTTAAAAGTGGAGAAATGAGAGTTAAATGCTTGAGTTTGTCAATATTAATGGAAATTAACTTGGTAAATTGTAAATGGGCTCTTGGACACCTAATTGGCTTGGAAATTCAAGCTTGGAAGTTATCATATTGAAGGATAAACTTTTAACTTCTCAAAAGTTTAAGATAAACAAGGAAACCTTACTTTAAGTAGTTATCTGTTAATTGATTGTTTATTATAATGTTGTGAACATTGCATGCATGAATTGATTTTCAATGTTTGAAAGCATGGTTATGCATGACGTCATATTTGGCTTGAAATGCAAGATGTGGAATCAAGATGATTTTCGAACTATGAATATGTATATGTTTTGGGAAGATAAATGTGATGTTGTGTTAAGGTAAATGCGTGTTAATAAAGAAATGAATTATTGTGATAAGTGAGAATAATATTGTGAAATGTTATTGGATGCTCACTTAGGTAGCTCATGATTGTGAACATAATGTGTGATTGTGATAAATATTAAATGAACATATAAAGATGAATGGACATCATTTATGTCATGATTAGTGGGCGAGAGTTCGTGTAAGGATTGAGAATAGAGAAAAATCCATATAATATGTTAGGCTGTCCTTCGGTTCATGGGATATCGCCTTGTCTCACAGTTTGTCGAGAGACTGTCCCACAGTTTGTCGATAGACTATAACCTAGATTTTTCTACCAATTCAACGAGGCGAATATCTTAGGGTATGAGACATTTCAGAGATT